TGATCCTCCTCTGATCCTCCTCTGATCCTCCTCTGATCCTCCTATGATCCTCCTCTTATCCTCCTCTGATCCTCCCTTATTTCAGTACACGGTGGTTGGACTGACTACGGAGATTGGGGTGAATGTTCTAAAGAATGTGAAAGTGGAACTCAGACCCGAACTAGGGCCTGTACTAACCCTGTACCAGTTAATGGGGGAGATGAGTGTGCGGGGGAGGGGGATGAGGTTCGGGACTGCAATACTCAAGCGTGTTCAAGTAATGTGTTTATGTTTATATACACATATATGTTTAATAATTTATAATGTGCTTATTTCTAAAACTTGTATGAAACGTTATTCTACTGGGCTTTTTCTGTGATTTTCTTTCTGCCAGTCTACTCCTAAAAAACAAATTCTCTCTTTTTGATTAGTTGCATGAATAAAATCGAAGTTATCAAAATAAAGCAGTGAAACTGAAAGGACAAACCTTCTCGATTTCAGTAAGATGCTGATAACGTACAAACCATGAACAAATAAACAGGACAAATTTATAATGAAAGTTGATATTCCAAAGTTCTAAGTTGATATTCCAAAGTTCTAAGTTGATATTCCAAAGTTCTAAATTGATATTCCAAAGTTCTAATGTCCCCTAATATAATAATTAAATTCAAAATTTCCCCTTACTTTCTATTCTGATGATTATCCGTTTTTTCTGATGATTTTTCGTTTATCAAAAATTTCTTTGGGACTAGAAATTCAAGTACCTCAATCGTGTCTTGTGCCATTCTCAGTTATATCCTGTAAGATGGTCATTCAAGAAAAATTCAGTCAAAACAATGAAATTTGGGTTGCGGAAAGCATTCGATTTCGAATATGTCCTACTATACCGGTAGGCCATATTCAAATTTTTCATTGCATCAAAGTTTTCTCCGAATAGACTGCTTCCAGTACCTTGATGGCGACTTGTGTCATTCTCACCGACCTCACTGATTGGTCACTGGTCAAAAATTCAGTAAAAACAGCGAAATTTGGGTCAAGGATAATTCCCGATTCTGCAGTTCATGGCAACTGGGCTTCCTACTCACCGTTCACGCTGTGAACTAAGGAACCTACACTGACCCACCACCTGGAGATGCCTGTGAGGGTTGAGCTATAATTAATGTTAGCAACTGTAATCCTCAGCCGTGTCACTTATAGTTTGGGGTTTACCTGTAATATAACTATAAGCTTAAAAGTAAAACTGCTACCGCACTGTTTTGAGATCATGCAACTGGTTATTGTGAGAAAATTTGTTATAGGCTAGTTATAGACTATAGTGATTGTAGACCGGTCTTGAATTCAATCTAAAGCGATATTTATATAATGAGAATATCGTGGTTTTGAATGATTTGATCTGAATTAGATCCTGAATTAATCGATTTAACACCGCAATTCCAGTCGCAAGCCTGGGACCACTACTAGCATAGTCACAACATCTACAAAGCTGCCATATAGCCTGACTGACAATTTTCTCGACTGACTGACAATGTTTCTTCTTTTTCCCCATTTAGAATACAAAGATTAGTACATTTTAGCTTATGATTAATATTATATTTTTACCTATAGTTTACCTAGATCCAAAAAATACTCCCAGATGGTGAAATTATAACAACGGCCGAAACAGTGTTGCAGCAACAGTCTGCAACACTGCACTGTAACGCAAATTCAATGGTACTTTCCTTGAAAAAGAAAAAGGAATACTTCAGCCTTCACCTCTTGGATCCAGGTTAATTTAAAAAACATCCAATTCTATAACAGTAGGGCACAGGTAATTAATTCTCTAAATTTATCTGATATCCATTATTCATTTATTTATACTATTTATTAACTATTTTTATTTTTAAAGCGACAATGACATTGAAGATGATTATATTGTATCGATTTCTACAGATTGCTCTTTTGATGGTGACACTCAAGAAATAGAAGCACCAATTGGTAGTTGTGGCACAACCGCTGTATGGAACGAAACTCATATCATATACACAAATAAGGTTCGCTTCGGACTATAATTAGTATTACATGTAATCATGTGTAATTCCAAATTAATCACTTAATTATTTATGATTATGTTTAAAATTTCAGGTTCTAGGAGTGTTACAAGAACCTGAAAATGAAGACTTATCCATCGTGTTTGACTTTCAGTGCGCTTATAAGCAGATAGGTAAATCTGGCGAAAGAACATTTATAGGTAAATTTTGGCAACCGCGACCGGTTTTTTTCTTTATCACATTATCAGTGATCTTTTATGTATTACAATAAAATATTAACCGTAATTACTATTATTTAAATTAATACTTTACTTTTACTTTAATTTAATACTCTGAATTTGAGATCACCTATTTTCATTATATCATTAATATTGATGAATAATTTATTATAAAGTTATACTATAACGGGGGGGGGGGGGGGGGGGGGGGGTAGGAGGAGGGGCAGCGTTTTACAAATACATAAACCCTCTATTACATTGATATCACTAAGTTCAGCTGCAGGCTGCAGTGGGTGGGGGCAGCGTTTTACATATACATGGACCCTCCATTACATAGATACCACTCAGGCCACCATTAAGATCTCTTATAGTTATAAACTATCCATCTTATAATTTTATAAACTATAATCCATGACTCTGCTATAAATTAATACTCACATGGGTATAACCTTCACTCTTCAGATATCCTTGTTAAAATCAGGCATGGACACTTTGGGGCTGGAACTTATTGATTTCCGTGCAACAGACAGCGCTGCAGACGATAACAGTGGAGACTATAATTACTACATCGTTAAAGACGGGCAATTTCTGCCATTTTATCAACTTCATTCTCATCACATAGAATTGTTAAGTTGTGTTATCTTTTAGATCTTTGAAAACTTAAAGTTAAAAATTTACATCCCCCTCGGCCTTTGGTCTTAACTTACTTTGACTGTAAATTTTACTCTGAGAGGTATATTTATTGGTTTGACTCTTACTATTAATATTACTATTACAGGTGTGTCATGTAATGGACTCCACGTTCGAGTACGTTGAGACGGACAGTATTGCAAAGATACGATTCAAAATAAAGGCGTTCCACTTCATCAACCAGCAATATTCTGCTTATCTACACGTTTATGTGTCAATTTGCGACCCATCAAAAAAAGATATGGCTAGGTAATTATTATTATATGATAATTAATGAATGATTACCAGTTATTACCAGTTAAGATATATTTTGAGAAACGTACTTGTTTCAAAGTGCCAAATTTTGTTTCTTTGATAATGACAATCATAATATTTTGTGTATATTCGCAATTTTTTGAGTTGCACAAATCTAACAACATTGTAATTTATTTGTGTATTTCCCTTAGTTGCGGTATATGCGACAAAGACGCAATCAATAAGAGTAAAGAGATCTGCAGAAGAGCATGTTGATAGGAACAAAGCGAAATACCACATATTCCAAGGACCGGTCCTTGCTTGGTTAAACCAAACTGAGGGTTAGTGGAAATCAAGTTCAATGATTAACATTAGCATACTAGTATACTTGTTTTAAGTTTTCCCTTTTGAAACGTTTAATGTTCATGTGATCCACCGTACTGTCCTATACCCATTGAGTCAACACAGACATCTTTACTCTAACACCAAAATAAAGTTCACTCGTATGCAAAAGTAAAGTTCATGGTTAACAAAAATTTGTACGTTTCAGGAGGGCTGACCGTGGCATCCAGTGGGTCCTCATGTCGATTCAGTGTAGCAGTTCTTATAATCATCAGCTTACTTTCAATTACTCTGCAGTGAATTGTTTATAAAGTTATAATTACATCACTATTTCGTTTTACCTTTACCATAAGGGGTCGTTCACATATTAATTAATCAATTGTTGTCAATTTTGAACCTTGAATATCTATCCGACTATTATAATATTAATAGTGCCTATATTAGTATATTTATTGCTATGTTTTAACTTTTGATAGCTTTTATTTTATTTTAAAAGGTTTTTTACGATATCTTATATATTAGAAGATTAGAGAAACAGTATATTGCAGATCTTCGTCATGTCCGCCATCAATCATGTCAGTGAACCATTTTTATGATTGCGAGAATAGCAACAATTTCATACTTCTTCAATATATAAAGATATAATATTATCTTACTTATAATTATAATTCAGAGAATTCCCTTCGTACAATGTACAATGTTTGTACAATGTTTGTACGATCGCCCACGTACAAATTAGGTAAAAAGCAAAAGGTTGCAAAGTAACCATGGCAACGAGGGTTGTTACACGCACGTGCACGTGCAAATATTGTTAAAACGGCATTTTATCGGTTTTGTTGATATTACGTTGTGTTTAGTACAGTGCGAGCAACATTTTAGTTGGCTGTATCTTCGGTTGTGTAGGATATTTTTTGACGCGATTTAAACTTACTAACAAAAAATACTATCAGCTTTCTCCCTGTGACCACGGGTTTTCTAGTCTATATTATAATTCAAAGAATTATGTCTACACGACCGCCCACGTGCAAATTAGGTAAAAAGCAAAAGGTTGCATAGTAACCATGGTAACGGTGTTGAACGCGCAAGTGCACGTGCAACGATTTGCGAACGACATTTTGATCGGTTTTGTGGCAATTACGTTGTGTTCAGTGCGAGATGCATTTTAATCGGCTGTATCTTCGGTTGTGACAGAAATTTTTTGATGCGATAAAAACTGACTGCCAAAGAATACTATTAGCTTCCTCCCTGTGATCACGGGCTTTCTAGTACTTCTATAATATATGCATAATAAGATTTATTGGAATTTATCACCTACATCTTTCTACATTTCAAGTAGAACTAGAACTTAGAAGTAAATACTTAAATACAATAAATTAACATAATTTTGTGAAATTTTTTAAAATTTTCTGACAATCTAACTATGTAGAACTATGTAGAACTATGTTGTATGTACTGTATTCAATCCTAATATAATTTAAAAATCAGACTCAAAATATTTCATAGTACTTTTAAAATGTAAAACAAATAATACTGAAAATAAATGGCAATTTCAATTTGTCAAAATATTTATTACAGTATTCCCCCTCTATATAATTCCCCCTTTACAACGCAGTTTTTTTTCGGGGAAAAATAGATCATCATTTTTTTAATTCGGAGAAAAATTGTTTAATTACAATTATCGACAGTTAGAATGAATTAATATCCTGCCATTTCGTTCATATAATGCTATTTCAGCTGTAATATCATCTTATTCTTCAATCATGCATCTGTCATCTCTAGAATGCACAATAACCTCCCACGAACAAGTTGGCGAGGCTTTATTTACTTAATTGATTAATTAATTATTCAATTAATTAATTATTTACTCCAATAATTAGCTAATTATTTACTTAATTAATTATTTGCTCCACTGATTGGGTCGCTCACTACGGCGGTAGATCTGTCTGTATGCAACTCTCACGTCAAACCAGTTCTCTATCGTTCTCATCATCTGTAGATAAAACCAACAAATTATACCTAGTCTATATGTTAACATACATATGAGCATACCTTAAAACTCTGTAAATCGCTACATATCTTACAGCTTTTTTAGCGAAATTCAGCTTCGGCCAGCAATTACTCAAACGAACTTTAGTTTAATGCATGTTCGGTTTGGTAATTCAAAGTGGTTCTCGGTTAAGTCGGATTGCGCGGCTCCAGGTTGCACATATTAATTGAGTGGAGCCGCGCAACCAAACCCCATGAATGATGAGAAATTTTCACCAGTCGCAATAACAACAGAAAAGTATGCCTTTAGCACAACAACGCCCAAAAATGTAACAATATTTTAGGGAATTTAAGATGTACCATTCTGAACTGTGAACAACTGCATGGCTACCATAACTGATAACCACAAGTATAACTGATAATAACCAGAACAAAGTTTCAACGAACATAAATTCAAAACAAATGACCAATCATGCAATCAAAACAACATAAATGTTTAAGTAGAGTTTTACTTCATAGCTTTCCAGATCTTATTGCAGCTTTTTTTCATTTGTTACATACATGTTACATGGTAAGGTCTCCTCCTAGTCGTTGGAGTGGCCTGCATCACACACATCGCGTTGGCGGCGTAACATATGTCTCCACTGTACTCGGTTGGTAGCCAAAGCTTCTGTTGTGTCGTTGTCGATGTTTTCAACACCTGTAAACTTAGCAGCATCTTCGAGTACGCAGGACTTCCAGTTCTTACGGGGTCTGCCCCTTGACCTCTTTCCATAGTTTGGCTTCCAGTTCAACAGAAACCTCGGTAGTCTAGAGTCTGGCATTCTAACTACATGTCCATACCAACGTAGCCTGGCAGCACTGATGAAAGTCTCAACTGACTTGATGCCAGCCCTCCTAAGAACTTCGTCGTTGGTTACATGAAAGAACCATTTAATCCTAAGGATCCTTCTCAAGGAGGTTTGATGGAAAACCTCGAAACGTTTCATCTGCTTTTTGGTGGTGTTCCAGACTTCAGCTCCATACAACAAGATGGTGAGGACAGCAGCCCTATAGATCCTGATCTTGGTTGGAGTCTTTATAGTTCTGCTATTCCAAATGTTCCAGAGCTGATGAAAGGCGCCATTAGCCTTCTGGATACGGACATCCAGGTCTCTGTTGATTGTCCCATCCCCACTAATAGTTGCACCCAGGTAGACAAAGTTGCTAACCTGCTCGACGGGTTCACCCTCAACCGACAGCTCAATACAATCATCCTTGATGAAAGGTCGCTGGGAGGCGCACTTGCTTACAGCCATGCATTGGGTCTTCTTTGCATTTATTCTGAGCCCAGCGTAGGAGCTGTAATGAACTAATAGATCAGTTGATTCCTGTAGGCCTTCCCCTGAGTTGTCCATAATAGCCATGTCATCAGCATAATCGGTGTCCAGAATGACCTTTTCCTCGACCGTCTTCATCTCTTTCTGCAGCACTGCGCCTTGACTGATGATCTTGTTGGTCTCAGCCAGAAATGCAGAAAAGTTTAGGCAGAAATTAAAGACAGGAGGTGCTTGAATGTCACCCTGACCTGTGCCTGAGTTAACAGTTTTCATTTGTACTGCAATATATCTTAGACCCAGAGAAGAAGAATGCTTCAAGATCACGTAACGATAAAACCTACAGAATATATAAATCAATCATAATTATTATAAATATATATAATTATTATATTATATTATATTTGATGTTTCAAGCTACCCCCACCAAAGCAATGCTAATCACAGTTAGTTCAATTTAAACTTTAAACTTTTAAAAGAATGCATGAATGATATTCATAACATCCACAGAGTCAATAAACTTAAAGCATTGAAGATAATCTGTACTTTAAAATTAAAAGAAAGCCTTTGAGGTTCACAAAGAGATTTTGTGTTGTCACTTTCAGTTTCATTTCAATCAGATTGAGATTGTTCTGTTTCGGAATGCTCAGATTCAGAATTCCCCCGCTGTTTTCCGCGCAAGTGGTGCAAAAGGAACGATAATCTCACATCAAACACATCTTCAGCAAAGCGGATTACCTGCAGAGGTATTGGTACTGCAGTATAGCTGTGTTTATAAAGAAGCACTGTATAACTCTACAACAAATCAGCTAAATACACAGCAAGAGAGAATATGAGAATATGCTGTAATAATTTAAGTGAATAACAAGGTAATCAAAACATAGCAAGATTGAAAATCGAATTCAGAATATGCTTTAATATGTTGTCTTAAGTAATCACAACATAGCATTAGCAAGATAGATTTAGAATTCAGAATTTGCTTCGATCACAATCATGGATAATAGTGCTTCTAATAATCGCGAAAAGTTTCAGTGCTTCAGTGTTCAGTGGTTTTCAGAAAACGCGCGTTTCGCAGAAAACGTTTCTGCGGCGATCTTAACTTATTTCTTATTATAGCACCATCTGAATTGTTAACAATAACGGATTATGGATTAGGTTGCGTATTATGGTTGTCCATTTTTCCTAAGCATGTATGGCGCATGTGAAATTCGCATCATTCAATGTAACTTTCGATGCTGATTCTGGCATTTGACGGTATCATACGTAAGTTTACCTGGCTCGCCAATCCCTGTTGCCTGTGCGCGGTGCTCTTTTCAAACTAATTCCCGAACAGGTAGCTCTTCTCTGCACGTGAGAGAATTAGCGAGCGATACTAAATAGACTAGCAAGCTAGGTAAACGTAAGTAGTAAGTACGTACTTTTGAATTTGTATTGAGCGGTACCTCAGGTACAGCGGGTCAGATCTGTGATTGAGAATCTATATATAGACTTAAACTTAAAGTATCATGAAAGTCGATCGTTTTCAAAAACTCGTGTTTTCAAACAGTTAGCTAAGTTGACTTAAATGAATGATGCTGTTGACTAAGACTTAAATGAATGATGTTGTTGACTTAAATAAATGATGTTATTGTTAATGTTATTCTAATTTAGTATTATTACCTTGAATATTGATCCTTCTCTAAATATTACCAGAGAATTATTTATTATTTTCAAAAGCTGTACGAGTTTCAATTTGTTTGTGAGCTGTGAATTTGAAGTTTCAAACTATCGCTTAAAAAATAAAATAAAATCTTTCATTTTTATGCGTCCGAGATTCTCATATACTCACGAGATTCTCATATACTCACAGTCACAGTCACACAGGGCCCCTCGCGGCTCGCACCCTTTTGAATATTCATAAAACAAAGATCACCGTCACAGTAAATATGGACCGATATGGGATAACTGATTTAAAAAGGAGCGTCAGAATGTTAACATAAGAAAGAAACAATTGAACCGTTTTCTTCTTTTACAATTACATAAAACAGAGTAAAACTTTTCAAGGGGTCAAGATTCTAGACTTAGAGATGGCATCTCATTTTAATTCTTTTAAAGTTCCTCCGCACCAGCTGGAAGATTCTTTAAAAATGTGCTCTTTTTCGACCGAATGAAGTATTTAGAGGTGTCTTACTCTTAGTCTTAGATTAAGAGGGGACACCTGATTTATAATGAGCCCTGAATAAGGGGTCGTTCACAAATTACGTAATCATTTTTTGGGACATTTTTTGCACAGGTTCGCATTAAAGACTCATGATTTGATTTGAAACTTTTACAAAATAGCAAATATACAAATGTACAGCAAATCGAACAACATATAAATTGGGCCGAAATGTATAAATGCTATAAAGCGTGGGTCAGTGAAACAAGTACAGAGAACAACTTTTAAAACAGGAGTTTTATGGCCGCCCAAAGTCTCAATAACATCACCTCCACCTAGTAATAAAATTATGAAATGTGAAAAGTGTGAAACAATCAAATAATAAAGTATTTAAATTATATAATTGTCTCTCAAATACAGATAACATCCGAAAACTCATAAAATTCTCATCACTCCTACATATACTGATCAGTGTCCGAGAGACATAAATAACTCATGATGGCTTTTTATCACGGCTAAATACCTTCCCGTACCGGATATAGTGGTCGAGACGAGTCTGTTCAGCCCTCTTCTTCTTCAGGTCAGTTACCAGATGCTTCCTTGTTGCTCGTTCTTCGCAGGATCTGTCTGGACATATCCATACATCTTTGTGCGACTCAACTAGCCTCAGTCTCCCTGTTTTCATCAGAATCTGATGAACTGCTGTGGAGCTTGGGACGGTGATCTTGACTGGTCGGATAGCCGTACTACCTGGTCTCTTCCAGCCGATTCTAGTCGCTTCGAAGTGAGGTTTCTCCCCGATCTCCTCCAATACTGCGGTAACTAGCGCTGGAAGCTGTTCTTCCTCCTCTTCTTTTAGCCCAAACACAATCAGGTTCTTGCTCCTGTCCTCCTCTGCAGCCACACTCTTCATCACCTTCTTCAGGATATTACTGTTACAGACCGTACCACTTGCACTGTTCTGTTGAACAGCTGCACTATAGTTCTGAATCCCTGACTCCACCGTTGTTTGTACTGTCTCCTCAACAGACGTCTTAAGCAACTGAAGTTGTTCATCCTTCTGCACAAGCAGTTGGCCCTGCAGTCTGATCACCTTCTCTTTGTCTGCTAGTGCTTCCGTCTTGAAGCACTCGATGATCTCCTTCAAGAGATACAACTGACTATTCTGCCGACGAACAAGGTCTACTGCATTCACAAGCCAGCCTGACAGAGTCTGTTTATCCTTAGTCTTGATCTTTTCACGACTTTCGTAATCAATGTCACTGTAGTCCATGTGCAGGTCTTTTCCTAACTGACTGGACCACCTTGCAACACAGCCTTCCACATCTTCCTGTTCATCATAATTGAACTCCTTGATTAACTCCTGGGATCGGGTCAAACTTGGGTCATCCGCCATAGTGTACTTGTATAGTAATGTACAAGTACACACGCAAAGGTAAACTACGCTGTAGCAGCAAACTGAACTTATCGCAAATTTACAAAAGATAAGAGATCAGTAGCTCGAACATAAGATATGGTGCAAATTACGAGATCCCCTTAATTTTGGTCAAATAATACTTGCTATTGAGTTTGACGTATAGTAAGGACCCGAAATAAATCTTTATCAGATTTCTGATATGCTCAGAATTGTTTACAATAGTGGCTTGGAGCAGATCGGATTGCATTCTATAATTCTATTACTTAGCACTAGCAGGTTTAATTCATATTTTATTCCGCGAGATTTGTTTCTGCCCAGCTGTCTTCTATTGCTACTGCCCTCTCAGCTGCGCCTTATGCCGCTATCTTGTCCTACAGGTTTAACTGGCAAACTTGTGATAAAATGTAAATATACTTTTAGTTATTGTTAGATAACCCAACATTTACTCCCAACCATTCACAGGTTTCCTAAAATGAAGAACATTTGCCACAAAACAGCCGTTATATTCCATTGTCTTCTCATTCTAGTCTCTTCATCCTCCTCTCCCGCTCCAGAGCGGACACCTGATCCCTCAGACCTATGTCACGTGCACTGTATTCCTGTAGAGAGCGTGTTCTGTCAAGGCCAGCACAGAGTGACGACTAGTACTGCACAGAAGTGCTGGAAGTATTGCTCCTTTGTTGATTCCTGTGAGCTGTTTGCTTTTAACGAACAGGAATCACTCTGCTACCTTTATAACCTGCACGTTTGTGAACATATTGATGATGAAGCTTGGATCTCGGGGTTGAAGATGTGCATCAATCATGTGAAGGAGACGGAGGAGAGCATCACCCTTCCTGACTTTCTCCGAGATGGTGGTCACATCAAAAAGAAGTTGTCTTCAAAATGCTTCGGATTTACTGTAGATGAAACCACAACACAAAGATACGAGCTAACTTTGACAACTTGTGTCCCAAGTAACAGGTGGGTTGCGGTGCTGGAAGGAGCGGAGGAGGACCCACATGCAGCCGGACACGGACATGTGCTTAACCACGGAGCCTTTCCCGGAGCTGACTGGAGCTAAATATCTGGCACCGTCCGTTTATCTGGCAGTGCAACCCTGCACTGAACCTGGGATCACGCCACTTTTCCTGGACTCATACTAAGCATAGTTACCATGGTAACTCATACTACCACACATCGGACTCTGCTGTGCTTGTTGATTGTTTTTTCATGACGACCCATGACAGGGTAGTGCAGCAGTGGACAGTCAACCCCAGTCAAACGGGAAACCAAACTTTGTTGTTCGATGTGGTCTCCGCCCCGGACAAACTTACCGGACATTGTGCTGCCTTCCCTGTTGAGAATGGCGATGTCATTGTAGCTGACGTTCCCTCAACTGTGCCGATATATCTATCTGGTGATGTTATAACTTATAACGGTGAGATGTAACGAGGGTTACAGGATTAAACACCGCTCTTTTGCGGTGGAAGCCACGACAGTTTGTGTGGGGGACAAGTGGCAGGATGGCTGTTTGGAATGTGTTGGTGTTAACACCAGGGAGAAACAAAAGGAGAGGAGACAGAAGAAGAGGAGAGATGGGGTTACGAGTGATGATGCGTATTTGGTTACCTTGGTTGGGGGACTGCTCATTGTTGGGGTGATCATTTTCCTGATCATACTTTACAAAATGAACCACGATAATCCTGACTAAAACTACTCTTATTCCTGATCATACTTTACAAAATGAACCACAATAATCCTGACTAAAACTACTCTTATTCCTGATCATACTTTACAAAATGAACCACAATAATCCTGACTAAAACTACTCTTATTCCTGATCATACTTTACAAAATGAACCACAATAATCCAGACTAAAACTCCCATTAATTCTGACGCTGCTATTAGCTTACCAAGAAAGTCTGGATGCAATAAAATCAAAAAGAATATTGCTGATGTTTTAATTTCACGTATCCTGGTTGGATACTTTTACAGTTTTCGTTATACAATAGTCAGAAAATAATATTATATTTACAGTGAAGCTAAGGCGATTCTTACGGTAACTTTTACATAACTTGCTTTTACCTTTAGAGAATTGGGTCCAGGACGCCATATAGAGTCTCACGCCCTAGATAAGAGTTCGGACACGAGTCACGACCTCTACTGCCTAGCTGATTCTTAGATTTGTAAGTTCAGTTAGTTTTCAGTATGCTAGTTTAATTTTCTGTCAATAGTTGTGTGTAAAGTGGCGTACAGAGAGGGGAGGGGGTCTTTAATAATAAATATGGCATAAGTAATATTTGAACGGTACTGTATATATAAATGCGTACACTGTAGTATATCAGACTCTGGGGTTAACCAACCTAAGACATGAAGATGGGAATGTTTAACATGCAGTTAACAGATGCACAAATTAGGATTACAGGTTACACCCACTGGCCAGCACTACACGGTAGTATGTGACTCCATAATAATTACAAAATCAGGTACCCGCTATTATACCGTATGAACGCGCGCGCGCGCGTCACAATTTTCTTACAAGTACTGTTGAGTATTTTGCTCATATTATTTCAATTCGGCGTTCGCGACAGCCGTTTAGTTGCGACTGGAGAATGTGGACTATTATAGCTTTCAACAGCTATCGTGTTTGAATACGTCAACTATAATTAATCACTGCACTCGAAAGCAAGCCGCAAGGCTACAGAAAACACAGAGAGCACCACAGAGACAAATAGCATCCACCAATTTACTTACCGGCAGAGGAAATATGTTTTTAACTAAAACGAAGAGATAATTCCAGAACCACGGCAGTGTAATGCAACATTGTTGAAATTCAATGCCTTCAACTACTTTTTTAGCTACCTGGAAGATTATAAAATAAATAGAGGTTCTAAACGATGAATAGTTAAAAAACAACGCCCAAGTCTTATCTTTAACCCTGAACCAAATAACTAAATATCAAAACTTTATTGAATTTTCTACCAATATCTCTTATCATAAACTAAATTACGAAGATAAAGAGATAACACAGATAAAAACCTGAAAGACATCCCAATTAATTATAATGAATTAAATCAAGTATTGCTCTTGTATTTAATGATGTTCTGTTATCTTATTATTTACCTAGATTGCAAGGAAATGCTATATATAATGTTGTTACCTCATTTTTATCAAGCATCGGATAGAAGTAGTCCATATACTTGTGTCTCATTCCTGGAAATTAACTGGATCAATTAAAGAATTAAAGATAATCAGCAACTTTGAAATTCACCGCTTACAAGAATGTTTTAATTAACTATGTACGTGTTGAATTCTTAAGTAATCGCCGCAATAATGCATCTCAAGGATCAAGGCTGCCGTCCAAATATCCCAAGTATTCCAAATATATTATGCAAACTTATTGTTTGGCTGAATACCTATCCGTTATGCAGACTATTATAAAAGTTAACATATCGCTATTTAAAAACGGCCGTATATAATATCTTTATAAAAACACCTGTATGTTATGCATGTCTTTATGAGTTTATGGTAACACCTGTATAATGGCAATTCTGCAGCTCAACAATTTGCATTATGCCACAAAAGGTTTAAATAGTTTAACATAACCCACAAATAATTGTGTGACAAGAATAATGTCGTAATAATATGAATTGTCTGGCAATATAACACGTGATATTTTGATAATGTCACGTGTTTAATAGAACTTAATATTATTTAACAGTACTTACCCTATTTATTTACAGTATTTAACAATATTTAACAGTATTTACCCTATTTATTTACGTTTTAAAAATCGTTTACACCACGTACATTAGATACATCCACGTGCGTGTCACGTGGCTGTAGAGCACTGTATTCCGACAGCAGTTAAATTATCGTTTAGAGATTAAACTGTTTTACAAGCTACAGGGTCATACGTGTAATGGGAATCTCATTTAAATCTTTAGCTCAATTATCGATATGCAAACCATGTTTATTCTCTTAGGTTATAACCTTACCATTCACACATGATCTTACAGCAGGGTGCTATTAAAATATTAATTATTTAGTTTTTATTCATTCTATTTTCGTTGTCGGCCCCGGAGACATGTTGGTTTTTTTTAAATCAAAGATTAAAACAACTTTTTGGATTGTGATTATGCGGTATAAGCTCTGTAGATTAATAGTAATTGAAGACTAAACATGCAATAAAATGGTATTACGTTGGTTCCCCAAACTAACAAAGATAATACCGATTAAAATCAATTAAAATATTATAACCCCAAAAAGGAAGATTAAAATAGTATAACCTTTAGAAAGCAATTAAAAGAGTAACGTTTACCTTTAAAAAGGTGAGTATTAACAAGGAAAGGGGTAATAATGCACCAGTGTATGTCAGTGTGCTGCATGTAGAGTGACTCCATCAAACCTGGGTAATATAAGGATTATATTCATTAAATACCTAAGTTATCTATATTAAATAACTAAATAACTGAATAACTAAATAACTAAATAACTAAATAACTAAATAACTAAATAACTAAATAACTAAATAACTAAATAACTAAATAACTAAATAACTAAAGAACTGAATAACTAAATAACTAAATAACTAATTAACTAAATAACTAATTAACTAAATAACTACTGTCTACACAAAGTTTTATTAATATTATAAATAACTTTATTAGTTATCTAAATTATCTTATTATATACCTACACAAAGTACAATTATAAATAACTCTATTAGAATATAATATAGTGTCTAAGTATACATGTATGTACACTGTACAGGTCAATTAAAAGATATAATTGTCTAATTTAGTTGATTAGTGTGGCTTTAAATAGTGGTTTTGGCTGACAGAGTTTTAGGCTGAATGAAGTATTGACAGTCTGACTGACCAGTTAAAGAAATTTTACATTGTTAGTGTTTTAAATCACAGTGCTGGCAGGCATGACCGTCAACATAACACTCACCATACTATTTACCCCCTATACTATTATGGCCCCTGTACTGTTTTCAGGCAGTAAGACTCACCGAAAGTAGTGCAGCAGGCAAAGGTAAAGTTTCGAAATCATTGAAATTACCTCCTTATTAATGAAGTTATGATTTACATTTCGACTTTGTAAATTATCCTGACATGATAATCAAAAAGAGATGATATTTGACCAAAACCCATAATCATGGGTATAGTGGACCGCAACAGTGTTTCTCTTTCCCAAAAAAAGGAAATGATATTAATTTGAATAACCGTCCGCAAATGCAAATTGATACCGAGAATGAAATCGGTCGCTCGCTTTTCCCAAAGCTTTCGAAAAGCGAGCGACCGAGAAAAACACGCCTGAGTGACAGTGGGCCTTATCGATCATGAGCCGCAAATCATAAGGGCATTCGTACTCTTGGCTTAAATTGGCTCTTCGTTTGTATCATCAATCAGGTTTCTAACTTCTATATCATCTGCCTGTCCAGTGTCCATCCGTCTCTTTGAGATTCATCATCACTTCAAGTTCAGTCATTTCGTTTCTGTTCAACTGTAGGCGTAATGAGGGACTTCAGTCCAGCAATAAAGTCAATATCTCTAGATTTAGCAATATTTGGTTTCGCTACTTTTAAGGTAATTGTGTTCAGGAAGCAAGGTTGTAAGTTTTAAGCCCTACTGCCCCAGAATATTGGCGCCCCCCCCCCCCCCCCCCCCAGAGCACTAGTAATGCTGGAGCACTGGTAATGCACATGGTAATGTACATGGTAATGATGATATTTTGCTTAACATAGCTCATTTTTAAGTTCCTTTTTGAGCAGTCTTCCATATCATACTGGCATAAAAACAGATTCACCTCCTTTATATCTGAATTTAATCTTGAACCTGGGCGTACAGAATTAGAAAAAGAATTAGAATTGTAATTTCATTCTCGGTATCAATTTGAATTTGCGGATGATTATTCAAATTAATTTATGGGAGAGAGAGACACTGTTGCGGTCCACTCTAGCCATGATTATGGGTTTTGGTCAAATATTGTTAAAGATAATTTTGAAACCGCAGTGGAGTTTAAGCGCACAATTATGCAAAAAAACAATAAGTAACATAAATTACAGGAGGAGAAGGTAACATGTTCAGGGATCCCAGAAACTATTTCGTGGGGAAAATACATTTACACAGCAATTAACACAAGTCACAATGATATTGTAAAATCCGAAACATTATTTTTAAGTCGCATAGTTGTCACATGATGGGTTGATGAATAATAGCTGACTAAATAAACTCAGGTAAAATAACTTACCAATAATACCGGCTTTACTGGAGCAGTAAGTTTGTAAACCTCCCGTACCAACATTACCTGAAATTAAAGGTAATTAAAGTAAATAACCAATTAGTCAAGGTAATTAACCAATTAGTCAAGTTAATTAACCGATTATTTACTTTATAACCTTCGTTTCAACTGAGAAATACAGTAGTTAAAGGACCAGTTAACTGAAAAATGTGTAGTCTCCAATTTGGCTAAGATTTAAATCAGCTGTGACAAACTGGTAAAGAATCGTATCGCCGAAAGAACCAACTCTCTAGCGTACGTGTAACGCGTGTTATTGCAATAATAAGCTGTGGCCTCGTGACGTCATAAAGTCCCTCAGTGCGCGCTTGCATAGCGTAATTTACATTACAAATGTTTATCATCGTCAATAAAACACGTGTAACTCACTCAAATTTTAGAATTATGACTATTACCCTAGTTCTCCAAAATCCTTATAGTTTTGGCTATCATCCTAACTAAAGGAATAGCTGATTGGATGTACAGTGCTCACGTCATGATTTTAAACAGTGATATAGGTTCTTGAACAGTGGCGGGTGAATGTACGGTTAGAAAGTTTCTGCTATTACAACTTATGTCATATGTGATAATTGTGGATTGTTTTCATTGCTTAATTACACAAGCAGGGAGACTGTACCGATTATTTTTCCCCAGTCCATGAAACTCTAACGAATTTAGAAAGGATACAGATAAGTAAGAGTTTGTTCAATTCCGAGAGCAATTATATTTATAGCATAGCGAAATTTCTAACTTTAATCTGCAAGTGTCTGCCAGTACAGGAGACAAGAAGTCTGGCTACTTTACGGCCGTTCCTCTGGGACCATTAGTAGAAGTAGCTTCTATCAGAACAGTGCCGTGGGAACAGAATTCCCGCCAAAATACCCGGTCTACCAAATAGTAAAATTACTGATTGGAGGTGTGTACGGTGTGAGGTGTTTTTTGAATTAGACTTCCGGCTTACCTAGTTGTTATCCTTATTGCATTATCATCGGTGCATAACATAAATAAACTACTGGTAAGTTTAAATAGTAAATACCAAGTGCAAACGTGTTCAGTCGATCGACCCACTGAACAACTATAGAATTTCCAAGACCCTATTATTCTCTGGCCATATATTACGGCAGTGGCGTAACGAAGGGCCCCGCTGACCCTGCTGTGCAGGGGGGCGCCGTCTTAAGGGGGCGCCAAATCGTCGTTTGAATGTGGGACAATTTCGAAAACTTAACTAAAGTACTAGCAAAACTGCGCGTTTTGCTCTAGATACAAACTTTTTTAGAGATTTTACCGGCGTATCCTCTTAAATCGCCTAATTTGTTCAATTTTAGGGAGGGGCACCAAAAGGAGAGGGGGCGCCAACAGGGGGGCGCCTTTTCGGCAGGGGGGCGCCAACAGGCAACGTTACGCCACTGTATTACGGCACGATCGATTGTTAGATGGCTAAATGACCAACGTTAATCTATACAATTCTAAAACTATGAGCTAGCACTTTAATCTAAAAATACCTTTTTTATGGCTATCATCCTAACTAAAGGAATAGCTGATTCACAGACCTTCCCGAAGTTATGATTAAACGATTTTCGTTTGGAGACATTTTTTGACCGTGGAGAAAACCCAGGAGGGCCACGCCCATATTGACCCAATAACGTAACCGACCCCTTGCTTCTGAAGGTCGTAGAGACTTCAAAATAGGCTTGAACGAAGCCGCATATGCATGTTTATATAGGAGTTATTGAGCAACACATGGCCTAAAATCATTACTTTTCGATAAATTCGCCAAAAACCATTTTGGGCGTGGTGCTAAGCCCATTTTCGATATGATCGTGATGGAGTCTTCAGACAGGATGCAAAAGAACCGCAATTAGCATATTAATATATGACTTACGAACAAAAATATGCCTTAAAGTGCTTACTTTTTCAGTTATTGGCGAAAAACTGATTTTCGGTTCCAGAAATCATGAAAAACTATGGGTATCTGGTTAATTGGGCTATGAAAGCCCTAAAGGTTTTTGAATGTGTGCAAATTGTGCAGAATGGCCATGTTTATATACAACTTATGAAGCAACATGTACCCTAAATTACTTACTTTTCGAGTTATTCGGGGGAAAAGATTGTATTATGTCCATTTTTTACCTGTAAAATACAGTCTCACGAGCTACTCTGCGCGCAAGAGGGACTTTATGACGTCATCGCCAAAATAATACAAACGCTATTTACACGCGTTAGAGAGCAGTTAGAGATTTAGGAATTTCGACTCGTTGCTTAGTTTGCTATTTGTCACAATCTGTCAAAATATGAGGATAACTTTTTTTTCAGTTAACTGGTCCTTTATTAAAATATAGGTGTTCGGCGAATTGTCGACTCTTTTAAATTGGAAGATATTCACCATCTTACTATATATAAAGCGAGACGATATATATATATATATATTTATCTGTGCCATTTTACTGACACCACGGCATCAACTTTAACGCAAATTTCCGCAAAAACCGTAAAAGATATACAACTGAAATTTTTTTGACTGAGTCAAATGCTTTTATGCTTTTCAAATCAGCATGAAAAAATAAAAAATTGGCCAAGGAATAATTATTTTAGTTCCCAAAATTTGGACCCCCAAGTGGTGTCAAAAACGCGAATTAAATAGGTAATAATTATTTTAGTCTCTTGAGTCTTGACACCACTTTAGAGTAATACGGGTTCCTGCTAGTTTTAAATAAAGTCCATCAAACATATTATATTCTTTTAACAATTATATCCTAAAAGGACTTCTCATTATTACTAGTTTACTTCTAAGAGCAGTAACTATAGTAACTATAGTAACTATAGTAACTATAGTAACTATAGTAACTATAGTAACTATAGTAACTATAGTTACTATAGTTACTATAGTTACTATAGTAACTATAGTAACTATAGTAACTATAGTAACTATAGTAACTATAGTAACTATAGTAACTATAGTAACTATAGTAACTATAGTACTTTTAGCCAGGTAGCGCAGTTGGTTAGCCAGCTTTGCAATCGTGAGGTTGCGGGTTCAAATCCCACTGCCTGCCTGGTCGTGGGGTGAGTGTCGTTGACATTCAGCTAAGGATCGTGAGTGGTCTATGCAGCCCCCCGGTCTACTCAGCCGAATACTCGAGAAATCGGGTGTGAGGGTTAAATGAGGAGCTGCACATTGCAGCAAAGTCTCGGGCGAAGAAAGTATGGTACACACTACCTTAACCGTCACTGGCTAAAAACAAATCCTTCGGCTTCCTGTAATTGGCTGGTTGCACTTGTATAACAATATGGCTGTTGGAATACTCCGAAGTAAAATAAGTGTCTAGATTAAAAAAAAAGTAACTATAGTAACTATAGTAACTATAGTAACTATAGTAACTATAGTAACTATAGTAACTATAGTAACTATAGTAACTATAGTAACTATAGTAACTATAGTAACTATAGTAACTATAGTAACTATAGTAACTATAGTAACTATAGTAACTATAGTAACTATAGTAACTATAGTAACTATAGTAACTATAGTAACTATAGTAACTATAGTAACTATAGTAACTATAGTAACTATAGTAACGAGTCTCTGAACTTACCCAGAACAGAAGACATCCCTACTATCGAACCTTTTAACCCTGAAATTAAACAGAATAATTATTTGTGCTCTCAGCCACTTTAATAAAGCAACAAGTATTTCATTCTTGACATATTTGAATTGTAGCATTCTAATTTAATTTGCGCTGCGTTTAGTTCATCAAGTAATGAACACAGCTTAACATGCAATGTAGCCATGGTTTGGACTAAATTAATTTTCTGAAAGCGGTCGGAAATTTTAAAACATTTCAGTAAAATTTTAATTTCGCCACTCAGTTCCAGTCTGAAAAACAGGAAAATAGAATCTATTAATAGATTGATAGTTGATACCCGACTGTTTCCGGTACAGCAGCCAAATCTCTAGACTGGTACTCGGTTAAGTTTGCGATTATCTCAAATGTGGTATGTGGTCGATATAGAGATACAGTGTACTCTATAATACAGGGTGCGGAGTTACCGGCGTGCGGAGTTACCGGCGTGCGGAGTTACCGGTGTGCGGAGTTACCGGTGTGCGGAGTTACCGGTGTGCGGAGTTAACGGCGTGCGGAGTTACCGGCGTGCGGAGTTACCGGTGTGCGGAGTTAACAGCGTGCGGAGTTACCGGTGTGCGGAGTTACCGGCGTGCGGAGTTACCGGCGTGCGGAGTTACCGGTGTGCGGAGTTACCGGTGTGCGGAGTTACCGGTGTGCGGAGTTAACGGCGTGCGGAGTTACCGGTGTGCGGAGTTACCGGTGTGCGGAGTTAACGGCGTGCGGAGTTACCGGTGTGCGGAGTTACCGGCGTGCGGAGTTACCGGTTGATGAGTTACCGATCGGTTCTTAAATCAAAGTAAAAACTTAAAAAGTACGCAGAGTTTCACGCACCATTGTATATCTTAGATTTCCTCAGATGAGGTAAAAGAGCCCTTATCGTCCAGAAATGTGCCATCAGGTTTACATTCATTGTTGTTCTTAGCTCTTCCACTGTCGATTCCTCTATATCAAACGGATTTGCAATAGCTGAAAAAGTATATAACTAGATAAAATTACATTGCATATATTATATCAGTTTAAAGAGATCATGAATTAGTGTAAATTTGCGAATTCTTCGAAAATACTCGAAACTTGGTATTCTCGAAGAATTCGCAAATTTACAGTGAGCTAGGCTCGGTAATTCTGCCGCAATCCCAAAATAGCTCATGAATTTTAACACTGTTTCTATTGCAGTGTCTGACAGTTAGCCACAATCCAACAAATTAGAGCGATCTTCCTGTATCGATATCATGCGACATAATTAAGTTACGAATATGGGAATTCCGAGCCCTATTCGTATATATTAGTGTTTCTATGTGATAGTATATGTGAAATGTTTTGACGATTAAGTCGGGGACACTTCATGATCCCTTTAAATATAAATAATAATCATTAAAAACCAATGTGCGGGCTCCTTTTCATTACGCTGTTCTAATAACTCAGATATGTTAGTTTCTGTAGAAATAAACCTGCAAGTTTATTATCCGGAGTCATCCTTTAAAACGCAGATTTAAGTGAGACTGAACTGCAGTATTTATCCCCCCCCCCCCTTCACCCCCCCCCTCATCTTCCCTCATTAATTTTAAATTGTTTTAAAGAACCAGAAGTAATATTTCCAGACAATAAATTTTTGATAAACCAATCAGCTTCCAGCATAATCTAGCAGTCACCAATGATATCCCAGAATCAATGTCAGGGCTTTAACCTGGTAACTTTATCGTTACAAAAGTGATTTTAAATACATATTTACCAGTGAAAACTCCTTATATGGGCATCACGTGGGTGCAGTTATTGACCACTAGCTAACTGCCATTTACAGGGTGGGCAGAGATATCTGATCACTTTAATTTTGCTCTTATTCGATAACGGAGCAATAAAAAGCAGTAGTTCTGTAAACACTAAGATATGATCGAATAGCTTTACCTTGATACCTTTGATACCTTTGATCTGCTTCGTCGAAACTCGACAGGCCATCAGAGTTGCTGACCACCCCAGAGAGAAGATGCCTCTCGATCGTTACGCCAGTCCAGTATAGAATTGGAGTTCGGTGATGTGAAGCCCCGGATTGGCGGTTTATCCGGCAAGGAAAGCATGAATGCCGTCATATGATGCTTGAAGCCATCATGTTTGGAGACTGCACGTATGTGCGAAGGTATACAGTTCCAGAGTCTGGGACCCATTACACCAAATGATGTTTCATATAGAGTCTGGTGAGCAGCTGAGCTTTTTGTACGGACAGCTGGAACCTTAGCAAGGGTACCCAATCGTGGATTTACTGTGAACTGTACTTCAAGGTCGTTGAATGTGAAACCATGTAGGATTTTCCACATGTGCATGACAATGTAACGTTCTCTGCGCCTCTGAAGTGACATGAGGGACAGGGTTTTTAGGCGATCCCAATAATGGAGATGCTGTAAACCATGGATCTTTGAAGTGAAAGTTCTTTGTACACTTTCAAGCTCCTGAATTTCATACACTTTCGCCGGATTCCACAGAGGAGAGCAATACTCTAAGTGGCTACGGACTAGTGACTTGTATAGTGTTAACATAACACCAGTATTGCGAGAGTGGAAGACACTGAATACCCATGCTGCCATCTTCCTCGCTTTATCACAACTAGATCGTATGTGTGATGTCCAGGACGTATCACTGGATACTGTTATACCGAGATCACGGAGCTGATCCACAGGACTGAGTATAGTACCAGTTGATGTTCTGTATTGGAACTGTTCATGGACAAAAGGAAGCTCATAGAGAGGATTACGTTTGTTGGCAAGATGGCATATGTACTCAAACTTATCCTCATGTAGTGCCATGTTGTTTCTTGATGACCACTCAGTGACTTTGTCAAGATCAGACTGAAGCTCAGTAACATTATGTGAATCACTGATGGATCTGCAAATTCTTGTGTCGTCAGCGAAACATCTTAACGTTGAATGCAACACGCAGCTAGCAATGTCATTAATGAATATTAAAAACAGTATGGGACCTAAAACTGTTCCTTGGGGGACACCACTCATAATAAGAGCAATGATAGACATTTTGCGAAACAAAAAACTCAAGTTGCGAAACAAAAAACTCAAGTTGAATTTTGAGCCGAAGCCGAGCGATTTGCATGATTCGCATTTTTTGCGATTTTTTACAAGATGGTTTTTACCTCATCAAAACTCCCAGAATAATTTTTAACCGTAAAAACCAAATGAATATAACCTTTAGCTTAGCTTTGGTAGTCCAGGATGATTAAATCTATGAATTATAGGCCCAAAAACGTACCAGAAACTGCGCAAAATGTAGTAAAATCACGAAGTTTGGGTTTCGGGTTTACTCAACCCCTAAACTTAACATAATTCTACGTTTGATTTAATATTTGTTGTTACAGACTCGCTTATTTCACATCAGAGTGAATACAAGAACCTCTGAGCACAGGAAAAGCTCGATTTACGCCGCTGATGTGATTTTCAAACAAGTACTCCTCCATCACAAACCTATTATTGAAGTTTTCTACGGTGTAATGGTAAACTCTGGGTACACTCTAGACACAATCAGACTATGTTTGTAACTTTCAAGCATATTGGAACTCATTTAGACCAAAAACAAACTCTAAAAAACTATTTTTATAACGTACAAAATAATTCAGAGAATGTGAGAATCAGACTTAAAATATGGAAATGGTGAGTAATTCACAATAATAAGTTTTATCTGAGCCGCTCTGTAGTTCTGAATGAGATCACACCAGTGCAATTTTTTATTTTTAATAAAAATGCAATATTTAAAACAAGAATGTAACTATCAGAAATGACTCCAAGTTCTTTACCTGCGTTATTGATAAGGATATCTACCCCTCCTAACTGGTCCACTACTTCTTCAGTTGCTTTTTCAACCTCACTACTGTTGGAAACGTCAACTTTGCTGCAAACAATTTCTTTAGACTTTATTACTGTGCATTGGCCATTGTCAGACAGGTTATTTAGTTACATGTAGTGTTGCAGCAACTATTCAATTATTACTGTAGGTCATTACTTTGGTTAATTGTTACGGTTTCTGATTTACTAGAACAGCGGTAACTTGATCTAATTCTGAAACTTTTATGATGCGAATACATTTGAACAATTTAACATATTTTATCTGTTCAAGTATATGCATGTCTGAAATACTCATATTATACGTGTCACACTACTCACAAATAATAAATCATATCAGAAGACATCCTCTGTTTCATTCTCTCAATGTTGGATTCATTGTTATCCCAAATCACCATCCTCACTCCCTTCTCTAGCAAAATACTCGTCACCTGGTGAAATGTTTGTAACACAATAGGATCGCATCTTAGGAGACAGCTTAATTTAAGGTATTTAAGGTATTTAAGGTATTTTGACATGGCGCATGGTTATATCGTTATTAAACTGCGGATTTCATGTTGTGACTGTATTTCGTGAACGTGCTGCTAAAAGCTGTAAAAAGCTGTATCAAAATTATTAATAATAACATTTCCTGCTAGTTAATAATAATATTTGTCAATAAGGCCCATAAACAATAAGATCAAGGATAAATTCACCCTATTTGTGTACACATTATTTAACATATATTACCTTCCACCGACTATAGACTGTATATATTTATATATAGGACCTTAATTATACAGCTCCCTACATTATACAATGTACATATTACCTAAGCTACACAATAAATCATTAACTGTGCACAATTAACACTACTCATTCAACAACCTTCAACCTTTAATGTAGCCAGATGTAGCAAACTTTCTATAAATGTTACAGTCAATAGTCATAATTGTATAATTTACATAATTGTATAATTTACATAATTGTATAATTTACTTAATTGTATAATTTACTTAATTCCATGTCAGTGTCAAACTCAAACATCTTGTATGCAGACTGATTATTTTAATGTTTTTTATATTTTCAATAAAACTTACAATTTGGCCAATTTCCCCAGCTCCCCCAGTGATAACACACACTAAGTCATTCAAGGGTTTGGGAACTCTGGCGATAAAAAATAGGAGAATCCTGAGGGCTGCTATAGTTGCAACCAGCAACAAGAAGTGAATAACATCCATCCTAGAAAATAGAGTGAGTATAATGATATAAGACAGAGTTTAAGAAAAACAGAAAGTTAATTCACATCGACTATCATTATTATATAAAATAAAATAAGATCCAGCGAGCACATTTCGTTTCTCGTACTAGGGGTAAAAAGGGTAAATTATCCGAATAAATCTAACCACGGCTCAAACCCCTGTAGTACTGACCACAGGGAGGAGAAAATTTAAGTGCGTCAAAATTGCCCGAATAGTAAGATCCTGCAACTGCCTAAATTGCCTAAAATTGCTTTATGCTTTTATGGGCAGCTAGAATACAGCGAATTTTAAGTTTCTCCTTACAATAACACACATAGAAGTTAGTTGTAATCATTTTATTGAGTTGAACTACCCCTCTTCTTCTCACATGATTGTTCAGTTTAAGCGTGTTGGCGCCTCCACCCAAAGGTGCCCCCTTGTGCCTCCCCCCTTCCTTTGGTGCCCCTACCTAAAATTGAACAAATTAGATGATTTTAAGGATACGGCAGTAATATCTCAAAAAAAGTGTGTTTTGCTAGTAATTGAGTTAAGCTTTTTTAAATTATCCCACATTTAAACAACGATTTGGTGCTCCCCTAAGATGGCACAACCCCCACCCCCTCAGGGTCAGCGAGCCCTTTGTTACGCCACAGCTGTGAATGCTATTATCGGCCAAATATTCGAGTTTTCTTCTGCTGCTTTGGGGATAAAACAAACTATTGGACTGGAACTTAGCCTTGTATAGTTTTTGACAAAAATCAAATGTTTTAAATAAAACTGACTTTGCTTAGATAACTGAAGCTTGCAAAAGCTTTATTATCTTAGTTAAATAAAACATGCAGCAGTTTTATACCATAGAACATAGTACCAAATATTTCTCTGTGATACATTTTTTTCAAGAAAACAACACATTTCTTCAAGAAATCAACAAATTTTTATTTAAATCAATTATAGAGACAATTTCTCATTTTTGCAGTACATCTGCACTTTTTGTGTGCAATGTTGTACCGTTTCTCTTTCAGAGTGAGATTTTATTCAAGCAGTACGTGGAACCACGTGACAGGTCCAGTGATGCCGTATTTTGAAGAGATTTTAAGGAATTGTCTGTAGCATAGTAGCGAAGATGGAAGAGCAATCAAAATAATGTATTGTACCATTTTCTATTTCTAGATATAATTCATTGTCCATGTCATGACAATTGTTTAAATATGCTATTTTATTCGACTACCTTACAATTATGGGAGAAAACAATAGGCAAATAACACGTAGCAAATAACTGAAAACAACATGATCAACAATACAAATAGAACCTGTCAAAAACTGTGACAATATTTATTGTTATAACCTTCACATCCACCTCATTACGAACGGGCATGGCCTGGGTGTGTCCAATCTGGTTCCTACTTGCTATCTCACCATGATCTGGTTAGTGTGACCTGTGTTACCTCATAAGTACGTCTGCATGATACCGTTCTTGGACAATAGGTTTATCCTAACTTTATGTTTTTGTAAATACAGTGTCTGCTATGCTCTAGTTTCGTAAACAGTGGAAATTGTCGCACTTGCTTAATCTAAAAACACACTTAGCTTAATAAGTTTGAAAAAGTTAAGTACAAAAAGAAGTCTGAGCTCAGAGATGACAGATTTGTGACACCACACTCATCTCACAATTTCGCATATAAAGGGGCAAATTTATGGAATAGTTTTCTTGAGCAGTCAAATGCACGTGGTAAAATAGGTTCACTAGGTTCAATTAAATCCCGATTGAAGCTTTCTATCATGAAGGCTCAACACCAACCTGACAATATTAACTGGCAGGACTTAAACTTCAACACTTTCCTATGAAAAGACCCCCATTTATATTTATATATTTTAGATTTTACACCTGTCACTCACATCATATATGCACCACAAAAGAAAAAAGATTCATTCAATCATTACATTATACACTCACTCCACCACACATGCACACTAAACATTAAAGCAGGTTACACGCGGGTGTAACGTTCACTTTATCCGAAGGGAAAAATAATACTTTACGTAACGCGCGATTTACGTCTTGGTAGCTAAATTATTCAAGTGCTATTTGTCAGAGCGACACAAATGCGCGAGCGCTTGCGCGGCTCACCTATCCAACACTCTTGTTTACATCGTATCAGGCAATGGTTCAGTTTAATTATGGTAAGGGCACAGCCTGTCAAAAACCCTTTTCGCATGATCCGTCGACACCGCCTGAAGGTGAATGCATAATAACGGATCATGAACGTACGGAATCAAACGTTAATAAGCTTGCAGCTTCCGATGAAAATGTATTCAACTTTGTGTCATGCTTGAATTGGTTTTGGACCTCTTCAATGCTTTTAATTTATTTATTATTGGTATTTGGTATTATGAGCTGATATGTATATATACATACGGTATCTAAAATTAAGCGTATAGCGAGCATATTTAACAATTTTTAAGCAATAATGTATTGCGAGCAGCTGTAATTTAAATATCGCATAAAAATCATATAATTATAACACAAAACTAAAATTTTATTGGAATCTATGTTAAACTAAAATAAAATTAATATCAGCCCCTTCGCCACTCTCAGCAGTCAACCAGGGCTCATAAAAGCTTAACAGCGCCTGGGTCCGTTCACCAACTGTGCTAATGTGAGTGGCGGTGTGGTAAAACCCATTTTAACAGCGTGAATATTTATTAAATATAAGCGCGCTAGCTGCTAGCATACTTGCATCATTTAATTTTTAATCAAATTTATTCGGATATATATTTATTGATTATGTATTGAATTGGTGATAAATAATAAAATTGTCTTTTCTCAAAAATTGTCTTTTCTCAAAATTTGTAGAATTTAAAAAGTCCTGTGCCAATTAAAACTTCAGACACACAGAATAAAATATTAAATTTAATCATATCGTTGGAGGACTTTGCCGCTTCGCAACAATCCGTTGATCGTTGCTTTGCAATTCGGATCGCAGAGCAACGATCTCGATAGGTTGACACCGTCAATCAAGTTATGTCGCTAGCTCAGCTCAAATGAGTTCACAAAAAACTTGTATCTCGTGGTGACCCCCACTGTCGCTTCACTGTAGAGTTTCTACGATACAGGGGGAGCCACGCACTCGTGCGCGGCGGGTCATACAACGTATGAAAACAAAATAAGTACCAGGAGTGCATATTTTATGCGCGCGGGCGCTTTTTTCGAAAAAAATGTTGTCATACGTTGTATGACCCGCCGCGCACGAGTGCGTGGCTCCCCCTGTATCGTCGAAACTCTACAGTGAAGCGACCGTGGGGGTCACCACGTGATACAAACAAAATTAAGTTGTGCAGCTGCATGCTGCAGCGACCAAAATGAAACAAAAAATTTTATTAATCGCATCATATTGCGTTTTAAAACACTTTTGATGCATTTTAATTGATACATGTTTCGCCTTCGGCGGCGCGCAAAAAGTGGCATGCAACGTATGTCAAAATTTTGACATGTCAAAAGCTAACTACGCTATTGTACTAGGAAAGAAATTTTTTTTAGGAAAGAAAATTTTTTATTTACCACAAAACAATCAATACATAATGTTATATTCATAAATAAATTCAAATTTCAATTTCAAACACATATACAGTACGCCGCGCACACAGCCACAATTTAAAATTGTTCAGAAATTCGTAGGTCAGCTGTAGGCGCCGCGCACATGATCTATTTAATTGTTATCTTACAATACATGTCAATACATATCTTACAATTACATGTCACATTTCTTAATTTCTAGAGCCAAAATTTCAGAAGCAAAATAATTTAAAATATATTTCTGTCGTTCACGCAGTACAGGCCGTGAACACTGCGACCTAATTAATATAATAATGGAGAGATTCCAAAAAACCGCGCGCTCGTTATTTGTGATTAAATTGAGTGCGCGCCACTGTCAACCGCAGTACCGCTCAAGCATGAAGTACTAAGCGGTACGCAGTTTTGCGTGAGACGTAGACATTTGTAGCACACGTTTCATTCAACTAATCCATTATGTGACATGTAATTATATTAAAGCAAAATGAATATTAATTTTAGTAATAATTGACGTAAACATATGTGTTTAAATAACATCTATAATCTAGCGAGTTACTAATACCATTTGTTTGTATTATTGATTATATATGTTTACACTAGCCTATATTATGATGGAGATATACATTGCATTATATAATTGCTCCAATACTTTGTAAGAAAAAATAAAACAATATGCAATATATAGTTTGCGTTTTTGAGCTTGTTATTCTTTTTTAAATTTTATTAAATACTTTTCAAATTTTACAGAGTACAGCAATAAATTAATATAAAATAGAATTGTTCAAAATATCACCCCCATCTGTAAAATATGATGATTGATGAGCACCCAAACACGGTAAACACATAATGAAGTATGTCCGTAGTAAATTGAACCCAATAAAATACAATGATAATGAATCATTGACTTACTGACTGACTTAAGTCGGCTTCTTGGTCCGAGCAACTACAATTCCTCGCCACACGTCGCGGTCAAGCATAACAGATCTTATCTCTTCAACACAGGAAAGGCTGGTGTCCTTCTTTAGCATGTCCAGAAACGTAAGGTGGGGCCTCCCCGGTCTCCTGTATCCATGCTGAATGAATGAATCACTTTATGCTTTATATTACACTTGACCATGTCATTTACATTTTTTAACCCGTTTATTTTCTAGCTGGCCCTAAATGACTATTCAAAACCAAAAACCTTAACCTTTTCATATGATCTCAACCGGCCTTAACCCTAACTCAATTTTTTACAAAAGTGTTTGCGCATGTTGTATCACGCGGTGACCCCCACTGCCGCTTCACACTGTAGCGTCTTCGACGCTACAGGGGGAGCCGCGCACTTCGTGCGCGGCGGGTCATACAACGTATGACAATGCGCATGCTATAGCTCTAACCCTGACAAAATTATAAATCAACTTTCTTGGTCTTGGGCTTTATACAGTCATATCACGTGATGATCGAGGCAGTTTGTTGCCAATATCTTGCCAGGGCCAGTAGCATTTTAACAGTATGTCATGGGGTTGCAAGCAGCTGTAACTTAAATATCACATGAAGAAATACAAAATTTTTTGTTTCATTCATCATTGACTGTCAGCTGTCAACCAGGGCTCAAACCAGGGCTCATACAATACAAGCTTAACGGTGCGTGTGTATTATTGATTATATGCCAACACACTATCTGCTCTAGCATACTCATTTACTTTGCACTCAGATCAAATATATTTATAATTGTATGTTTGATGTTACCATTTAGCGCTAAAATTTAGTTTGGTATTACTTATTCGGATATATATTTATAAATTGATTATGTAATGAATTGGTGATAAATAATAAAATTGTCTTTTCTTTCTCAACTAATGTAGTTGAATTCATAATTTCCCACCTGCTGCTGTATGGCAGTGTGCCAATACCCTCGATTAACTGGGTGAACCCGTGTCTAGATTACGATTTATTGTATTCATCTCTCTCTCTTCGTTACGCTCAACAGACCTTGGCCTCTTGCTATAAGAGGGAAGCCTTCTCGCCGTGCCCACAGAGTGCAACTCCTGCTAGCTACACGCCAGGACTCCCAAAGTGTATATACATAATCATAAAAAATAAATATTACCGCAACAGACCTCTGGAGTCTTGAAGCTATCACTATACCTGGCTCAGAGCAATTCTGAAATGAATTCCGTGAGTTATTAAAGGTTTGCATGTGGGTAGTTACTTCTGGGCCACCCTGTAGTTAAATTCTTGGAGAGCAGCTGACATCTCCATTGCTCTAACCTTCTCGATTAAAGATGTTTACAAAAACATGTGTTTTTTCAGCAATTATTTAAGCAAACTTAAACATAGTCCAATAATTATTATAGCATGACAAAAGATGAGTTGAATGATCAGCCACACAACGAGAATTCAGACAATTCAGAAGACAAACTGATAAATGAAGTGAATGGTACACAAAAAAATGACCCGCAAGCTGAAACAAAAGATACCCCGAGCCCCAAAGACAAATCGCAGTCTTATTTTAGTTGGTATCTTTTGACAGCTATTGCCCCATCCTTGTTGGCATTTATCATCCTTCACCTTCTCTATGCTAACCAGAACGTACAGGTTTGTTGATACATACGGTCATAACACTGCAAATATCAAATATATCATGGCATTGAAAACAATTACAGCCAATATTCATCATGTCCAATGCTAGAAATAGAATACTCCAATCATAAGTTTCTTGATAATTATTTGCTTGCTGTTTCTGTACAATGTCTCTTTTTCAGCACAACTTCCCATCATACAGAGAGGCATGTATGAGTGGACAGTTCAGCTCATTAAAAGAACTGCATCAATTTGTGAGGGAAGATATAACTACAGTTGATGGGGAACTTGCTAGAGATGACTTTCTCAACACTTATTATTGGAAAGCTAAGCCTGTTCTCATGAAAGGTGGGGGATTACTCATTACTTGTATACTTTAGTCACAACATTTAACTTATCTTGGGATAAACTTTACTCTGGTATAAATCATTGACAATTGACATTTGACACCTGTATACCTCTAGACAAGATATTGTCGTGTACATCCGATTATGCTGGGTTATTACCTGATTTAGTAGTACAACTAAGGTATAGTTTACAAAACATCACAACAGGATACTATACGGCAGTGTTAAACAAGGAACTGAAACTGAGGCCCATCACATTTTGTTTCTGTCTAGTTCTAATGTACCGTCACAATAGTGACTTTAATATATATATATAACATCTGAACCGAAAGTAACAGTACTTTCTTGACGAAAGTCAAATACAAGGAAATACTTTCGAGAAAACCATAGTAAACAGCTGACTTTGGCAGGGTAGTGTTGGTCATGTGCCTAACCTTGTGAACACATCGGATATCCTTGCTGTACGGTTAGTTAAACAATGAATTGAAACTGTGGGGCTCCGTGCAGACCAACCTACCTGTGGCGGAAAACAATACATGTACTCTAAATTACACTCTTAAATTGTCGCCTTAAGCTACAAACCCTATATCTAACCAGGGGCAGCCAAACACTGGCCAGCCTACACTCACTGGACAGACGAGTATTTGCTGAGTAACCTCTTCGACCTCAGCTTCTATGTGGACCTCCGCAAGCATCATTCAACCAGCAAACCAGTCAGGACGAAAATGAACATTGGGAAATTCCTCCGTAATTACAGGTTAGTGGAAATGAACAATGGAGGATTCCTGCATGATTGTAGGTTAGGTAAATTTCCAGTACAATTTCCTTAGATGCTTCTGTCTTATACTTGTAAACAAATGCAGATGAAGTTAAATAACATTTCCTTTTTTCTAATATCTACAGTTTGACGTCACCACAAATATTGTAAAGAAGCAATTAGACATATTATATATACTATTAGACATATTATTATATACTATACAAGTAAAACATCGTCCAAACCATTTAGGAGTGTTGTTAAATGGATTGCAGTATTAAATATAATATAATTATACATATATTGCATAAATTAGCATTTATACAATTCAGTCATCAGTTCTAGCTTTGTTCCCATCCTCTACCCACCCTATTTGTTGCAAGTTTAGTCAATTTGGGTGCAAGATGCTTAGATTGAGCATGCATTGAGAACACATTATGCACACATTATGCACACATTATGCACACATTATGTACACATTATGCACACATTATGCACACATTATGCACACATTATGCACACATTATGCACACATTATGCACATTTGTACTGTATAGCACAAATAAGTCGTGGCTATGAAACACATCGACATGAGAATTTAACTTTCAATACTGTAACTTTTTGTTTTAGAATCTAACTTTCTTAAAATTTAGTACGTACATTATTTCACTGAGTTAATTTTGTGCTTTTTCCTGCTACAATGAAAAGCCTAAACCATCGCTACTCTCCACTTTAATAAATTCTACAAGGGCTCCGGCCACTTATTATGTAATAACTCATCCTCTTTGATTCGCCGAACTACCGACTTTATTAATAGGATAAATCAAAATGAAATCAGATAGATGGACCCTGATCGTAGTTCTAGAACGGTCCGAATCTTTATTAATATTCGGATTCTCGACAAATTATTACGACAAATTATTACGACAAATTATTTACGGACTGTTAAGCAGTGAGAATTATTAGGGACATAAGATTCGTTAAAAATTGAAAATTTATTATGGCCGGTAGACAAATTATCCAGCATAATTGTGGGTTTTTGAGATCCGTTAAGCTTTAACAGGGCCATCACATCGTGTGACCACCCCACAGAGAGGAGATCTCTCTGTCATTCCTCCATCAATGCAGCCAGTTTGAGTTCTTAGGAGTGGTGCAGCAAATTGCTCCGTTATACCACTGATGCAGGGAACGGTGGTCTCAAACTTACAGCTATGTTTAACTTAATATCTTGTGCAGAATGAAGTTATTGAGTTCACATCTTGTTACACGCTTAACGCAGGTGCCTCATGGAACAAGCCCGTACTCCTTCATAAATATATAAATCTCCTTGGAAATATATATCATATATTGTATCACATCGTATTGTGTAATCTTCTAATCTAATAATCTCCCAATCTACACCCTCTAGACCCCCTCTAATAACAGAGATTAACTTTAGTTTCTGGAACATTCTCAAATGAGTTAGAAGTTCTCCAACCATGCTACTAACTCGTTACACTGATCTTTTTTTTTTTTTTTTTTTTTTTTTTAAGAGAGGCTGGGCATAGAAAGCCCACTAGAGGATAGCATTAAGATGCTTTGCCTACCTCTGGGATGAGGGGGGGTTTATCGGAGACAACAGTGTGAATTGTGGAGGACGGTGGTGGTAATGATCTGAATGGGAATACCGCGCTTTGGTACCAGATGAGTTTATAAATCAGTTAGGCAAGGCTGCATATGTAATGTGTTAATGCGCTAAGTTACGCCAGTCTGATCCAGTTCTTCTGGTACTATTAAGCGTTTGGTGCGGTTTGTGAAGTTGACGATTGTGGTAATGTGGTGGTTGTCGAATATGTCGTTGACCGAGAGGTAGTAGTCCCGAAAGTATTGACCTCTTATTTGGGCAATAGCTGGGCACTGTCCAAGAAAGTGTGAGACAGTTTCCTCTCCGTCACCGCACATAGGACAAGCACTGGTGCTTGATTTGCGGATGGTGTGGAGGTGTTTGTTTAAGCCACAGTGGCCCGTGATTAGGTGGACTGCGGTTCTATAGTCTTGTCTATTGTTGATGAGTGACGTGTTTATATTATTGATTATTTTGGTGTGCTTTTGGCCAAGTGTTAGTTTGGTGTGTCTAGGACCATCCGTTAACCAGATATCCTGATTCAGTCTGTGGACTTTGTTGTTGATTTGTCGTTTGATGTAAGATTGAGGGATTGGGCATTTCAAAACGTGTTCGCTGGTCGTGCCAAGCTTGGCCAGCTCATCCGCTTTTTCATTTCCCCACAACCCAATATGGGCTGCGATCCATCGGATCTCTAGAGTGTTGTTCGATCCGAGTGCGTTAAGGGTGTCATAACAGTCTCTAGTAGTTCTGCTCCTCGTTGAAAGCGAGGAAATAGCTTGTATGGAGGAGAGACTATCAGACCATATAATGATGTGTGAATTGTTGTAGGATGAGAGATACTTGCAGGCTTCAATGATTGCAGTGAGCTCTGTCTGGTAGACAGTACAATAATCAGGGAGCTTGAATGATCTCTCTTCCAGGGTGGTGTTGTTGTTGTCAGTCGTGATGATGTACCCAGCCCCACTTCCGGAGTCTGATAGAGACCCGTCTGTGTAGCAGGTGATCGTTTCACTGGTAATGTTGTCGATGGTGTGTTGGAGTGCGGTTCTGTATTCAGCTTTGTTAGTTCCAGGAGTGGTGACGGTGAAGTGCCGTCCCAGCATCATGGTTGGTGCTGTGAGGTCTCTTGTGGCTCTAGGTGGTATGTTGAGATCCTCCATGAATTGTTTGTTGATTGTGGTGTGGTTTTTGATAGTTCCCTTCCTGTGGGCGATAGTTTCAAGAGTGAGGCTGCCGTAGGCTTGAAGCCTTGCTGCCCCCTTCGCTGCTTCGCCCCTCAGGAATAGTATGGTGTCTGGGGTGTCACACTGATCTGTAAAAAGGTACAATGTTACAATATTATGTTATTATGTTACTATACTAGATATATTATATTAAATTATTATGTTATTATATTAGATATATATAATATATTATATATTATATTAAATTATTATTATATTAAATATTATCTAGTTCTTCTCTACATATCAACTCATTGGGAGAAACAATAAAACTCCGTTTTTTAAACCATACCTCTTCAATTTAGCAATACCATCAAGTACCCGAGGTTTTTTCAGTACAAATTGACATATTGAAATGTTGGGGTGTATGTATGTGTCTGGTACAGAAAGCCTAAGAATGAATGTTTCACCACTGCGTACTGCACACTGCATGAGTGAACAACTTTACTATATTTTACAGTACACACCACAGGAATTCTGGAAAATTCTTAGGGAAAATATTTCTTTTAAATTTAAGCTATTCGTCAGTACTTGATTTTAAAATATTCGGAACTTTTTTTCTGTCATATTTCATAACACCGTGAGTGTCTGGTCTAAAAGTGAATTGACATCTACCCTACTACTAGTACTACCCTACTAGTAGCCGCCCTACTAGAAGCCGCCCTACTAGTAGCCGCCCTACTAGTAGCCGCCCTACTACCTTTCTGCGATAATATTTGCCGCAAGCGCCCTTTTTTTAATAGTATGACCTAGAATCATGCTTATAAAGAACTTAGGTGCTAATGACAGTAAGTCAAACGATTTCTGAAAACATTCTGCCGAACATTCCTCAAACATTTAGGTTAAGAGAAAAGTCATACAATATACAAACTCGACACAGCTGATAGGCTACCCTATTGTAACATCACTGTAACATCACTTACAATACAAATTTAATCCTCAGCTTCGATCTGGTAAATGTATAAACACTAAATTGACGCCTCCCCCTCCTCAGCGTAGCATGTTGTCGTGTGAACTTTAAGCTGTTGTGTGGATTAATGTTTCACGGTTGTGCGTAGTGTATAGTTTTTTGCATAGCTGCGCAATATTCAAGCTACCTACGTTTTTAGGGTTTAAGATAATAATATTTCAAAAGAATAGTTGAGGCTCAATTTAATAATATAACAATGATATCAAAACAATATATTCCTTTTATTCTAATAAATTATAATTATAATTAATAAATTACATTATATAACTCAGCATTCAGCAACCATACTGTTCCTGTAATGTTACATTCTTACTCTTGCTCTACAGCTGCAAGTCTATCTAAATTAAATGGTAATTTAAATTGGTTATATGATGGTTACCAGACAGTCCAGTGTCCCTATCATATCGCCCTGACTCTGCACTCTACACAGTCTACAGCCGCCAGTCTATTTTGCAATCTGCAATCTAACCGTGAATAGTTTCTTAATACTGCTGTCCCTACAATAGACTAATAGACTGTTCTTATAATCTCGCCCTGTATCTACAGTCTATAACAGCTGCCAGGATAGTCTGCAGTCTCACCTTGGTTCCTAATACTATAATACTCTACAGGTGTTGGATTGGCAGTGGTTTCTATAATACCACCCACTGTAGTGTAACTGTAGTGTGTACATTGTGTAGTGTACACACAGTACACACTACACAGTACACACTACACTATACACACTACACACTACACTATACACCTGTGTATACACAGGCACCTGTACACCCGCACTACCTGATAATAAGTGTGTAATTAACGCGGTAATTCCGAGGTAACTGGTAACATGGTTACAAACCTTTCTATTGAATCTTAATTAGGCACGTGATCAGCAATTAGACTGAGATAATTATCTTTACTATTATGTAAACTTGAACCAAATTTAATTTAAAGGAGCATGTGCAGGCTGAGTGGAATGTAAAGGGGACTATAATAAGCCAGGGGTATTGAGGTATGTGTAGAGGTATGTGTAGACTGTTTAGACCCAGTTTCGACCCAGTTTAGATCTTCTATGTTGAGACAAGTTCTCAGATTATGGTTTTATAATTACGGTACTGAGCAGTACTATTTATCACAACTACTTATTTATAGCACACTTCACAATCGACCCATCTCTAGACCCAATCATGCAAATGAGTTTTTGTCACCACCACATACAACAAGAGTCTGTTATCAGCATCACGGACAAAGGATAGGACGAAGAAGACACTCTCTGCCACACTTATAGAGCCTGGCAAACTCGAATCAAAGGTAAGTCTGGCAGTGGTTCACACTCTGTTGATATCTCTTTAATGAGACTTGATTGGAGGCCTCTCAACTTCCCTAGTTGAGTGTGTCCCACAACCAAGCTCATTGCCTAGAAGTCCTGCATTATTATAATGCCCCTGGACATATGTGGCAAGTATAAGCTCTTTAAACCAAAACCAAAACCAAAACCATGTGTAGACTGTAGAGGTATGTGTAGAAGTATGTGTAGAAGTATGTGTAGAGGTATGTGTAGAGGTATGTGTAGAGGTATGTGTAGAGGTATGTGTAGAGGTATGTGTAGAGGTGTGTGTAGAAGTATGTGTAGAGGTATGTGTAGAGGTATGTGTAGAGGTATGTGTAGAGGTATGTGTAGAAGTATGTGTAGAAGTATGTGTAGAGGTATGTGTAGAGGTATGTGTAGAGGTATGTGTAGAAGTATGTGTAGAGGTATGTGTAGAGGTATGTGTAGAGGTATGTGTAGAGGTATGTGTAGACTGTAGAGGTATGTGTAGACTGTAGAGGTATGTGTAGAGGTATGTGTAGAGGTATGTGTAGAGGTATGTGTAGAGGTATGTGTAGAGGTATGTGTAGAGGTATGTGTAGAGGTATGTGGTAGATGTTTAGATGAAGATTTTCTGAGCCCATCAAATACACATTACCGGACAAAATGTTCATCTATTCTGCGCTCAAAATTTGAAGTATATGTAAAGTTCCAAGCGCATCTAGCAGACAATTATGTTTTTAAACTATCAAATATTTGTTATGAATATTAAATGTGGTTATCAGAACCACACCCATTGTCCGGATTAACTACAATAATAGTAATAATATTCACTAAAACCGCTAACATCACAATTTGTCACAGTCTCTCACACTCGCAGTATTGCATCTACAACTTGAAGATGCAACTTGTAGTACAAGCTAAGGGTAAAGACAAAGTACCGGTCTCCTGAGGACTTTTGTTTTATAACATTTTGTACGTACCCCATGCTGTTGGAATTGTAAGATTGTATTAGAGATTCCTTAAGGCAAGCTGATTGAGAATAGACGACTGTAAGTCTCCGTTGTACTCCGTTTTATCGATTCGCATCTACCTGGATATAATAGCTTATAATAATGTTACCTACCTGGCCGTGGCCAATAAAATAGTGACAGAGCTTGCTTATTTTTAATGGAACGTGTCCAAAATCATTTTTAAAGCAATTCATGATCGAATACTAGTGTTTATTAATTGTTTGATGAATCATATTTATAACTTGCTATATTGATAAGTTGATAGTAAATCGATAAAGTCATCATTAAGGAAAATACGTGAAAAATAATTTGGAGAAAATAATGATAGTGACCTAAATTTTGGTAGTCCGAAAATACAGTGTTTTTTTTTCGAAAAACCACCGACTTTCGTACCATTTAAATATGTCTCGTAAGATATGCTGTTTTATAACTTTATAGCAATAATATATTCGAGATTTTTTAAATATAATGCTATTGTTTTGACTGGCACGCCTATCGCTCTCTAATCTCTCTAATCGCTCTCTAGTCTAACTATACTAACTCGCGATTTTCTTTTGTCCTTGGCTCACAGAGAGTATACAGAGAGCTAGAGAGCATACTTTTCAATCTGGCGGTTTACTAAACTACACTGTATGAGCTCTGCACCGTGGAAGGGTTTAAAATATGCTACCTCCAACTCCCATACATGTTCATATTACAGAGTTTTATATTAACACGAAGCGATGTAACAGAGCCAATATAATTTATATTGCCATGGAGTGGCAAGTTCCCATTCGTCGCAGCCCGTTAGTTTTAATGCATCTTAATATGTTGGGCAATAGGCATTCGTTACGCAACTTCGAGTCGGTATTGCGACATGGTGTTCGTCTTTCTGACTATATAAGTACAAAGGTTTTTACTTATCAGTTATTAAGTTAAAGGGTTATGTGTTCAATTAGCCTTTAACTTATTAATGACTACGTAAAAGACTAAAACGTATGAATAGTTTTTTGGCTATTTAGCTAAGTAGTTCCTACGTTCTGGTCGTTTTTTTCAGATGATTACTTTATAGGTGTATAGCTTAACCAAAGTATTCAAAGGAACATAAAATCTAAAACTACGAAATGCAACTGTAGCCAAATGTAGCCAACTGTTGGCAGTCTGCCAACTTACTCTTATCCAATATATTTCAGAGATAACGACTGGTATTTAGACTCAATGACTTCAGATGATAGATTCTTAGATGAGCTTATAGGTTAGTACTTAGTACTTTAGTTAACAATAGGATAGATAAGCTGTAATAAGTTTGAATCTTAGTTTACAACAGTATAAGTTAGTAATGATAAGTTATTTATAACTGTACAGATTAGTAAGGTATCCTTGGGTTGAGTAATACACTTTTGGTGATATATTTGAATTATTTTAGTCTGCACAGATCTGGAGCCAATTGATCAGATCATTCTGTCTGTATAATTCTATTGAATTAAATTACTGGCTAATGTAATGTGTCTAATGACCACATTTCATTGTAACTTTAGGGAATTATTTTATAAACTTGGATTATGATTTTATTAACTTTAATTATTATTTTATTACTATTATTCAAGATTAAATCACGTAAATAAAGCTGTTTTATTATCCTAACCCCATATTTTCAGTGCCTAGCTATCTGAATCTGACTGGGCTATTCGAATTTACAGACGAAAATGATTTTTATCAAAACTTTTATCTGAGCTCGGGAAATACTAACTCCCCTCTTCACTTTGACGGATTTGCTAACTTACTGACAGTATTAGATGGTACTAAAGAGGTGAGATTTGCAAATTACTTAGTACATTTTCATGTAAAATTTCATGTAGGAACTGAATCTCTAATGTATAATAGTGTACTCGCATGAAGAAGATACGTATAATTCATGAAACTATATGACCGCATTTACAAATAAATAAACGGAATCGGCGGCGACATAAAACTGCAGAAAATATCACATCGTAGATAAATTTAATGCGCGCGTATTGCATGGGATTCAAACTTTCAAAGTTCGTGTCAACGGCTTGTTACCGTGCAACTGTGCAAGTCGTTCAATTATTGATTTTCAAAGCGTAAATAACAATGTTCAACTATCTTTGTCCGTTATGTTTTACTTCCTACCATCTTTTATACAGGAAAACTTGTTTCTATTATCTACAAATTCTACATTCAGTAAAACATCGATTCAACTTATCGTTTTACACGGGGCAAAACTAGGTGGTTTCGCCGTCTTCTAATTAAAACCCACGATAAGGCTCCACAAAATTCATAATAAATGGGTATGAACTGTGTATTGCGGTATACTTCGGGCTAAACACACGGATTCTATTACGTTCACCGCATAGAATTTAAGGTATAAAAATGGGCAATTATCAGTTGAATCAACCACCTACACTCTCCCAAACACTATACAGTACACTGTACATTTCATCTCATTCCAACGTTCTATTCAGTGGATAATAGCAGAACCAGACGCCTCTCTCCAACTTCAGATGGACCAATGGGTAGACTTCCCCAACCTGTCCCCCCTCAATGTTACTAACTTCTCTATTGCAGACCACCCGGGACTTTGTAATGTTACATGGAAACGTGCTATAGTAGAACCAGGTATTTAGCAGTTTAGATCCTGTGGAATGCGGGGGAGATATTTCCCAGCCATTACCCAGATGTTAAAAGCATTGAAATATACAGATGTTTATGTATTAATGAGCTATCATGGTAGAGTCAGGTTGTACTAAGTAACAATCATCATGTAGGCTGACACAAATTTTCGTGATACTATTGATTCACAATATTCTAACATGAACAATTTACCACTATATTTACCGCATATGATGAGATAGTAACCATGGTTATACCTCCAGGAGACATCCTGTTTGTGCCACTATATTTACCGTATATGATGAGAAAGTAACCATGGTTATACCTCCAGGAGACACCCTGTTTGTGCCACTATATTTACCGTATATGATGAGATAGTAACCATGGTTACCTCCAGGAGACACCCTGTTTGTGCCACTATATTTACCGTATATGATGAGATAGTAACCATGGTTATACCTCCAGGAGACACCCTGTTTGTGCCACTATATTTACCGTATATGATGAGATAGTAACCATGGTTATACCTCCAGGAGACACCCTGTTTGTGCCACTCCTCCACCCCCACCACGTGTACAGTCCCCCCGGCAGGAACATGGCAGTAGGAATGTGGTTCTACCTGGACTCTTATAATATGTTGTTAGAACAGGCTGGCTTCTTCGAGATAGACAGGAGGAATATTTCGGGGAGTTTGGCGCTGTATCAGCAACATGTGGGGTCTAGACCTAAACCTTGTGATATTACCGAGTGCTCTCCCCTTGGTTAGTGTAACGCTCTCTTTACTTTCTCACCTCCATACTTTGACCTAACTCTCTGGCCCCTTTCTGAAATATTTGTTTACAAAAATTACCCCTCCCAAACCCCTGTCTCCCTCAGGTCCTGTCCCCCTAAACCCCTGTCTCCCTCAGGTCCTGTCCCCCTAAACCCCTGTCTCCCTCAGGTCCTGTCCCCCTAAACCCCTGTCTCCCTCAGGTCCTGTCCCCCTAAACCCCTGTCTCCCTCAGGTCCTGTCCCCCTAAACCCCTGTCTCCCTCAGATCCTGTCCCCCTAAACCCCTGTCTCCCTCAGATCCTGTCCCCCTAAACCCCGGTCTCCCTCAGGTCCTGTCCCCCTAAACCCCTGTCTCCCTCAGATCCTGTCCCCCTAAACCCCTGTCTCCCTCAGATCCTGTCCCCCTAAACCCCTGTCTCCCTCAGGTCCTGTCCCCCTAAACCCCTGTCTCCCTCAGATCCTGTCCCCCTAAACCCCTGTCTCCCTCAGGTCCTGTCCCCCTAAACCCCTGTCTCCCTCAGGTCCTGTCCCCCTAAACCCCTGTCTCCCTCAGATCCTGCCCCCCTAAACCCCTGTCTCCCTCAGGTGCTGTCCCCCTAAACCCCTGTCTCCCTCAGGTCCTGTCCCCCTAAACCCCTGTCTCCCTCAGATCCTGTCCCCCTAAACCCCTGTCTCCCTCAGATCCTGTCCCCCTAAACCCCTGTCTCCCTCAGGTCCTGTCCCCCTAAACCCCTGTCTCCCTCAGATCCTGTCCCCCTAAACCCCTGTCTCCCTCAGATCCTGTCCCCCTAAACCCCTGTCTCCCTCAGGTCCTGTCCCCCTAAACCCCTGTCTCCCTCAGATCCTGTCCCCCTAAACCCCTGTCTCCCTCAGGTCCTGTCCCCCTAAACCCCTGTCTCCCTCAGATCCTGTCCCCTAAACCCCTGTCTCCCTCAGATCCTGTCCCCCTAAACCCCTGTCTCCCTCAGGTCCTGTCCCCCTAAACCCCTGTCTCCCTCAGATCCTGTCCCCCTAAACCCCTGTCTCCCTCAGGTCCTGTCCCCCTAAACCCCTGTCTCCCTCAGGTCCTGTCCCCCTAAACCCCTGTCTCCCTCAGATCCTGCCCCCCTAAACCCCTGTCTTCCTCAGGTGCTGTCCCCCTAAACCCCTGTCTTCCTCAGGTGCTGTCCCCCTAAACCCCTGTCTCTCCCCAGGTGCTGGTTCACTACGTGCCCACGTGTCTGAACAATCCGAGCAGTACAGTAGAGATTCAGATGTTCCCCCTCCTGCTAAGTTCCCTATAAAACAATACAACAGTGAGACTGCTTACATACCTGGAATTGCATTCGGGACCGGGCTTCCTGGTAATGTAGTGATACATCTTATCGTTTACTTTGTTGTTTTATTTTAAACCTCAAAATCACCAATAATTAGAAAAGTTGAAATTTTGACAAGCTGTTTTTAACGATAATAAGCTCAAATCTTATAACATGTGTGACCGTAAGGTTTGTTAATTGTCATTGCAGGGGGTTCAATAGATAACGTGTATTTGAACACAAGGGCAGCCCTAGATATGGGATACAAGCTTATTGACACAGCTGTTATGTATGGTAACGAGGAAGAAATAGGTTCGTTTGCTAGCTTTATTCAGATGGTGTCTATTATATTTGGAGCAACTTGGTCGATTGATTTATTAGTTGATTGATTGTTTAATTAAATGTTTTTAGGTAGAGCTGTGAGAGATTGTAAGTGGATGAGAAGTTCAGTTAAAGTTGTCACTAAAATAATGGTAAGTAAAACACAAACAAAAAGTCACAAGTGTGAGTGAATTGACGTGTCTATAATAAGCAAGGGGCTAAAATGATCAAACTTATTTCAAATTTTGTCTTATTATAAACCCCTCCGGGTCAGAATAAGATTCTGATAATCCCGGCTCCCGCTAAATAGATTCTGATAATCCCGGCTCCCGCTGTTAGTTTTTTCCCGCTGAATAAATAACCCCAGCACAGCTTCTATAATCCCGCCCCGGTTATTTGGCTCAACTAGATTTGTTCTGTTTTGATATTACATGAGAATTTCAACCGCGCACTGTCACGTGTTTTGATGACGTGTATCACGTGACTAACTACTACGACGCGCATTGGTAAAAAATGTCACGTGACCTATGGCTTAACGTAAGAACTATTTAATACACTTTATCTACGTATCGGTCTAACTGCAGGCGCTGGCAAAACTCCAACACACTGCTTAAATTACTTAAACTCTTACATTAATTGGACCAGTTCCAGAACTTGTCTCGACGGTTACATTTGATTTTGTCCGATTAATTTTGTCGTGTTTGTTATAAGCCATGTATTATATTATATATAGTCGTCTACTTTGATGGACTTCATGACACGATATCATTATTAGCTCCACCTTTTATCGCTTGCCAGGCTTAACTCGACGCCCCTTATCGATATTCATATTCATTCAACGTTCTGACTGAGGAATAATGTTTAGATATAACGCCAATTTCAAATGTCATAGTACCTTAGGTCCTTAGTTGTATTTATTTGGTAGTCCCCAATTCCATTTCATATTGTCCATACTGATCTCATAATCATATAGCTAGAATTAAGAGTAAAATGTCAAATTGCTGGTCCTAGCACTAACCCGGAGGGGTTTATAACACATAACACCGGCACGCTTAAGTTATATTAAAATAACCCCTCGTGCTAAAGCACGTCGGGGTTATTTTCATAATAATCCCTCGTGCTTCGCACTCGAAATTATTATGAATTTTTCCCGCGCGTCGCGGGAAAAATTTAAATATAATCCCTGCGCTTGCCGGGGTTATGTGTGTTATAATCATAATTTATATAATATATAAATTTACAAATGTTTTGTGTTCAGTGGAGAAATACAGGGGAAGCTGATCTACACAAAGAAATGGTTGCATTGATAGAAGGGTCCTTACAGAGATTGGATCTGGAGTACATTGACATATTGCTCCTTCATAATACAGATCACATTCCTAATTTCGAGCAGCTAACTGGTAAGTGTTTCTTTAAAACTGCCCCATTTTGTAATATACCAACATAAATTATTGCTAAGATTATGTTTGCGTTTCATTGCTCAACAGCTGTTCGAAGGATCAAATTTAAGAACATAAATTAATGTCATCTTTTGTTGCACGATTTCATCTTGGCTGCTGAGCTTTTGGTGGTCGAAACTTCAGCATGATCATCAGATTACTTAAATGATAGTAATTAACAATTTTGCAAGGGGCCCCAGTTCAGCCCTAGTATCAGCTATCTTTACTTTAAAAGTTTTATTTCAGTTGTTTGGAAAGCTATGGAAAGTTTCGTGTTGTCAGGAAAGGTACTAGCTATTGGACTGAGCAACACTGAGATTACTTATATTATGCACGTGCAATCTGTTGCTTCTGTTCCCATCAGGTTGGGTTTACTTAATTGATTAATAGTTAATTACTTAATCAATTAATGATCAATTGATAATTGATTTATTTTTCTAAAACCTTGCTAAAACTCGCGAGGTTTCAACTCCATTTGTGAGCTAAAATTTTTCAGAACGAAGGGGTCACTTTTTGGCCAATTTTCTGAGTTTGTTTCTATGTCCCCGTTGCCGGGGAGATTTCGTCAAGTTCAAAATATAATATAGATGTAAAAATGATTAATCGCATATAGTTTCACTGCATCCCAATATTGACTGCATTTACCTCGTCTAATTTTGACTCCTCCCAGCATTGTTCAGAATATCTTCACCCCCTTCGAACATGATAGAGATGTCTACAACTTCTGCTTGGAACATGAGATATTGTTTATGGCTTATGGAGTATCAGGTATAATATCTTATAGCTTAGCGTTCATGTTTATTATAAATGCAAACTTGATTTGAATTTCATGTTGAGAAGTTAAAGCTGTTTTTATTTCTTCAGATGATAATTTGATTTTTTAAAACAGCAAATTCATGTAATGGTAATTAGCATGCTTTTAAATATTTATGTAACCCAGGTTACCATGGTTACCATCTCATGATATATTAAACGGTAACCAAGGTTACTATCTCATTATAAATTATACGGTAACCATGGTTACTATCTCATGATATTATACGGTAACCATGGTTACTATCTCATGATATTATACGGTAACCATGGTTACTATCTCATGATATTATACGGTAATCATGGTTACTATCTCATGATATTATACGGTAACCATAGTTACTATCTCATGATATTATACGGTAACCATGGTTACTATCTCATGATATTATACAGTAACCATGGTTACTATCTCATGATATTATACGGTAACCATGGTTACTATCTCATGATATTATACGGTAACCATGGTTACTATCTCATGATATTATACGGTAACCATGGTTACTATCTCATGATATTATACGGTAACCATGGTTACTATCTCATGATATTATACGGTAATCATGGTTACTATCTCATGATATTAAACGGTAATCATGGTTACTATCTCATGATATTATACGGTAACCATGGTTACTATCTCATGATATTATACAGTAACCATGGTTAATATCTCATGATATTATACGGTAACCATGGTTACTATCTCATGATATTATACGGTAACCATGGTTACTATCTCATGATATTATACGGTAACCATGGTTACTATCTCATGATATTATACGGTAATCATGGTTACTATCTCATGATATTAAACGGTAATCATGGTTACTATCTCATGATATTATACGGTAATCATGGTTACTATCTCATGATATTATACGGTAACCATAGTTACTATCTCATGGTATTATACGGTAACCATGGTTACTATCTCATGATATTATACGGTAACCATGGTTACTATCTCATGATATTATACGGTAACCATGGTTACTATCTCATGATATTATACGGTAATCATGGTTACTATTTCATGATATTATACGGTAATCATGGTTACTATCTCATGATATTATACGGTAACCATAGTTACTATCTCATGGTATTATACGGTTACCATGGTTAATATCTCATGATATTATACGGTAACCATGGTTACTATCTCATGATATTATACGGTAACCATGGTTACTATCTCATGATATTATACGATAATCATGGTTACTATCTCATGATATTATACGGTAATCATGGTTACTATCTCATGATATTATACGGTAACCATAGTTACTATCTCATGGTATCATACGGTTACCATGGTTACTATCTCATGATATTATACGGTAATCATGGTTACTATCTCATGATATTATACGGTAATCATGGTTACTATCTCATGATATTATACGGTAATCATGGTTACTATCTCATGATATTATACGGTAATCATGGTTACTATCTCATGATATTATACGGTAACCATAGTTACTATCTCATGGTATTATACGGTTACCATAGGTACTATCTCATGATATTATACGGTTACCATGGTTACTATCTCATGATATTATACGGTAATCATGGTTACTATCTCATGATATTATACGGTAATCATGGTTACTATCTCATGATATTATACGGTAATCATGGTTACTATCTCATGATATTATACGGTAACCATGGTTACTATCTCATTGTATTATACGGTTATAATACTATCTCATATGTACTATCTCAGGGGACTACTACATCAAAGAAGGAGCAGCCATAAACCCCGTGTTAGAAGAACCTCTGATAACCGACTTGTCGGAACTATACCATACCTCCAAACATGCCATTCTCTACAATTGGGCTGCTCAGTGAGTTCACTTTCACTTTCACCCTCAGTCGTCAGTATTTTTAGAGATTCAGCACAATATGATATTGTTGTAACGATGTTAAGTGGAGTGTATCCCATTTGGGTTGGACAATTTTGGTGTATACCCCCTTAAACTTACAAGAACATCTTATCAGGAGAGAAGTAATATTAATAACACGAACCACGAAGCTTTCTCACATGAAGGAGAACTTGGGCTATCTGGACGTGTTTCTTAATTCCGATCATATGCAGGATATCAACGACCTTCACGAAGAGGACTAGAAGCGTAACCATGGTAACCATGGTGACCGTTGCCAACATGGTAACCATGGTAATCAATGGCATCATGGTGATCCATTCTGGAGGAGTGAACATCTTTAACATTTTTAATTACTGTTAACAATTTCTTGATTTCCCTTGTGTTGTTGATTAGTGTTTAATAATTATCGATGATTATTTTATTATGGTTGAAGCAGAGGCAAAATAACAATGCGACTTTAGCAAGTTATTGGAGCTTTCTTTTATTTTCACAGTTATTTATTTAATTTTAAGTCGTTAAACACATCAAAATTCTTTTAAATGATGTTAAATGATGTATTTACTTTACTTTACTTTACGTTGTTTAGCTGCAAGGCAGCAGGGTCGTCTATAAAACCCACCCTTTTTCTTTTACTTCGGACAACCATGGCCGGCACCAGCACTTACAGGAACCCGAAGGATCGATAACTAAGTCCAGCGATTTATGCGTCATAAGTAATGCATAAAATAAAATATGTTTTGGGATCTTAATCTGAATATTGTTATTTGAAATATTCTAAAATTAACTATTAATGACGATGACGAAATTAGGGTAATTACTTGTGTTGGCTGAAAATTTGTCACAATTTTAATTTTATTTAACTAAAAGATTTTGATTTTTTAAACACATTAACTTAAGAGTTATCAATACAATAAATGATTGATGTTATTATGAGTATTACGACTAAAAGTTTACGACACTGCTGATAGTAACAATTGAGTAAAATTCAGTATAAATAATAAATTGTATGAGATTTTATAATGATTCAGATAAGTTATATTTTCTTTATAGCGTGTAATTACGTGAAACATTATAATTGCATCCATTAAAATGTATTTGTTTAATTTTGAATTAGACTCTGATAATTTTGCACATGACACAAGCTTTGTGAAATATATGAAAATACTAGTATGCCAATTTATAATAAGAACAATCTTGAGTTATTTTAGAAAAATTAAAATCAATATCTTATAATTATGAAAACAAAATAAAATTTTAAAAACACAAAAAGAATATTGCATTGGCTGTACCGTATTTTATGATGGCTTTTAAACTTTTTTTTAAATGTTAATAATTTTAACAACAAAAACATCCAAGAAATCAAAAAGGTACATATGAATGACGCTTCAAAACCAAATAATCGTAAAATCAGGGATTTTATCTAATAAACAGTTTCCTTTAACTTTTAAGTAACAAATTATTTACTTGATCAACCGACTAATTAGATATATAATTGGTTTATCAATCAAATAATAACCCACTATCGATACCGTGATCATCAAGAAGACTCTTCAACATGGTGATTCTACTGTCTGTCTGTGCGGTGTGTGCTTCCAAACTGAAAATGATTAAATTGTAAATATGAGGCTAGTGCATAATTTAAACTACATAATGTCACTGCGATAATAAAGTAAGAAGTGATAAAGTATTTTGAAGCCTATAAATCAACATGTCATCTTCAATGTAAACTAAGGTATTGATAAAATTACACCATAACATAGTCATAAGTCTGCAATTGTCATGGAAGTCATATTAATTAAATTGACTATATAAGGTAACATCAACGTAGTTTCACTACCATATTAGGTAGCATCATAATAGTGACACTACCATATAAGGTAGCATCACCATAGTGACACTAACATATTAGGTAGCATCACAATAGTGACACTACCATATAAGATAACATCACCATAGTGACACTACCATATAAGGTAATAGTCTGTAAACTAACATGGTCATATTAAGACTGTCTGCAATTGTGGTCGTCATGAGCTGTTTAAGACTTTTGTTCAGAACAGCTGCCGACTTCTGTACCTCCATTTTTAGAGCAGGGTCCTCGCTGTGGTCATTGCCTGCACAATTAACCGTTTGTATAGTATAGTATGGGAAATAGAGGGGTAATAGGGTGTGTGGAAGTAACTAATCTAGGAACTTTGGCCCACAAGATGGAATGATTTATATGTATGTATATGTTTTATATGTATGTATATATTTTTTCTCATCGAGGAATTCTCTACAACTTGATTTTTCTACAACTTAACAATATTAGTAATGTTATTAAATATTGACACTACCAACTGATAATATTTACCAACTGATAAGTTTAGTCTCTCGATGTTACCTGGTTACTTGGTTACCTGGTTACTCGGTTACCTGGTTACTTGGTTACCTGGTTACTTGGTTAACTGGTTACCTGGTTACCTGGTTACTAATATTTACCAACTGATAAGCTCAGCCTCTCGATGTTTCGTGTCTCGTTCATGGCTCGCAAGATGAGGTCGGAAGGTTGCTCGGTAGTGCGGTTGTCCAGTTTCAGGTTGTCCAATCTCTCCTAGTACAGATAAACAAGGTTTATTGAACAATTTTGTGGTAAAAAGAAGGTCGGATTTGTCACATAATTGCAATGTTAGCGACATCTTTTTTACAAAGTTTAGAATTGTCGAGATATAACCTGCCTCGGAAACCTTTAGTTGCTCTAGTCGTGTCGATGTTAACAAGCAGTGATTCGGGCTAAATCAAAACTTTTAATTATCCATGATCTTGGTGCCATAATTTCATGACATCTGGTATTATGGTTTGTTAAATGGCTAAAATTACAATTTGGAATCTATAACTTATCTGAAGAGTATCTATTTATTCAACATTTGTATTTATCGCAAATCTGTATTCGATCGAAGATTGTCCAAAAGTTCAAATCTAAAATCTAAATTAATTTTGATAAAGCTATGATGTCTGATCGATGGCTCTAGATTTTTTTTAACAATTATATGTGTAGTGCTTCCTGACATACTGGTATGTGTAGTACTGCCTGACATAGTACGGGTATGACCGGACATACTGGCATGACTGGTAACTCTGAATTGTCCAACACGGTACGGTTAACACTCTCAATCAACAAAGCAGCAGTACTTCGCCGACCTGAGCCCTCTCCCTCCTATTAAAAAACAAAAGGTTCACTTCATCGTATTTCCAGTATACGATATAATTTATCACCGTTTATAAGCTAATGAAGTGTATAATTGAGTAAGTTTTAAAATACGTATACACACCTGATCGTTGTTGCTGTTTGCAGCCATATTTAACCGGTCTGCCTCGTAGTGAAGTTGTTTGGAAGATACAGCAGGCTGCCTTGATGAAGGAGCATTCGGGTGATGTTGTGATGAAGGAGCAGATGACTGTCTTGGTGAAGTTACAATAGTTTGTCTTGATGAAGGAGCAATTTTTTGCCTAATTGAAATAGTATTTGTCTGTCTAGAAGGAGTACTTGCTTGCCTTGATGAAGGAGCAGACGTTTGCTTTGATACAGGAACAACTGTATGTCTTGATGAAGGAGCAACTGTTTGCCTTGATGAAGGAAGAGACTTTTGTCTCGAGGAAGGGACCACTGCATTTCTTGATGAAGGAGCAGTAGTTGGTCTTGTGGGTGGCTGTGGTGTCATTTCTCCAGATACAATTCACAATTCACACTGGTCCTGTAGATCCTAAATCGAGAAGGAAATAAGTAGTTCGAGGTAAATGATAAGATTAATAAAGATAATAGATATGTTAGCAAATTTAAATATCAAACTATTTCAGCAAATTAAACTAAAACTTAATAATGATACTACAGATACAATTGATACATACATCAAAGTATCGAAGTTCGCTCTAAATGGTTTTAATGGGAAGTATTGTGAATCATAGCATTACATGGCGTAATAGTTCATAGATTATAGATACAAATATCATTAAACTGAGAAGGATTGATACGACAACACGGAGCATACAAAATCTATAAAACAACCAACAAGTCAACGTTTATACAGGTGTCAAGGAATTCACTAGTATAACAGTATATAATGTGAGTATAATATGAGGTCAGCACGATTAACATCATGGGTTTAGTTCATCACGTGGTACATCAGCTGGTACATCAGCTGACCAACAGTTCACGCGTTAGCCTGCCTAAAAGGGAGGGGCTTGGTGGGAGGGACTTTGAAAAGCTTTGTAATTTTAACTCAACATTATGTCTAAAATACTCAAAAATAACCTACAGTGGATGAAGGGGTTCTCAATTTGTCTCAATCACGTGTAATATCACACGACCATTAAGGAACATGCTAATGGACCAAACTCCTTATTTGGACATCACGTGGTAACATGCTAATGGACCATCATCTCAGAGTGGGTGCAGACTAGAAAGGGAGAACTGGGTGGGTATGTGTGCATTCTTCCTGACGTATGTGGTAACTATTAAACAGGGTTGACCAGAGAAATCTGATCATTTTCATGGTGCTCTTATTTGATAACGGAGCAATGAATCACCTCTTCACCTCATCATCCCCAGCTGAATATACACACGTAATTTGAAAGCTGAAATTATAATGTTCAGTTTTCTCTGGCCCACTCTGCATAGTACTGGGTAATTACTACTGATTGATGCTTTAATGTGAGTATTAACATTGTTACAAGGGGAGAGGGCAGAGTGGGTGAGTAGACGGATACAAGGCAGAGAGTGTGTAACCTGGTTACCTGGTTACCTGGTTGCCTGGTTGCCTGGTAACCTGGTTGCCTGGTTGCCTGGTTACCTGGTTACCTGGTTGCCTGGTTGCCTGGTTGCCTGGTTGCCTGGTTGCCTGGTTGCCTGGTTGCCTGGTTGCCTGGTTGCCTGGTTGCCTGGTTGCCTGGTTGTCTGGTTGCCTGGTTGCCTGGTTGCCTGGTTACCTGGTTGCCTGGTTGCCTGGTTGCCTGTTTGCCTGGTTGCCTGGTTACCTGGTTGCCTGGTTGCCAGGGTTGGCCAGAGAAATCTGATCATTTTCATGGTGCTCTTATTTGATAACGGAGCAAACGGATTAAACGGATTAAACGGATTAAACGATTCAAAAGTCAAATTACAATGGTAATGTCTGACCAGATATAAAAAAATAAATTTACCCAAAAGTCATAAAGTATATATATACAATGAACCCCGTAAATCTTAAGAGTGAGATTCAAAATACTTAATAATTTAAATGAACTTTTCTGAAAGTGTTCCGAGTCATAGATTATAATTTGGCAATATTGTTAATGTTAGGAATTTGTTTGGAGGACGCTTTAGGGAATCTTCGTTCATGAGCTTTGGTAAGGAACCTTCCTAGGTCTCCGATGGTTGTAGGGTGTGCGAAGATCTGTCCAATGTCAGAGAAGAGTAATGTTTTACTTTGTTGGGACAAACAGTGGCGGAGATCTTCATAGAGAGGGCAAGTACGCAATACATGAAGTTCATCTTCGATGATTGGATCAGGGAAAGGAAGCTCTAGAAGAAGATCGAGTGACTCCACATCTGTAGTAGAACAGTGTTTGCATGCCCTATTCGAAAGTTTTTGTCGATGCATGCGGTGTCTTCCAGTTTCGATGTTGTATTGATGCGAGCTTGTTCTGAGTTGCGCAAGTCTCCTAGTCTGCTGTGGCCGTAAGTTGATCGACAGGTATGTTTCGCAACCGAAGCTTGCCTTGATGAGGTTGTAGAATCCTAGTTTTCTGTTGAGTTTTCGCTCTTTGTTCCATTGTTGAACGAAAAGGGTTTTCATAGCCTCGCTGATTTTGTGCGGGTTTGAAATATCACTTCCTCCTGTCAGTTCTTTCACTGTGTTCTTGGTGGATTCCAGCCGGGAGAAACATAACAGTTTCAGATCCCTCTGCTCGGCGTAAGCGTGCCTCACTAAAGAAGAGCATCCCTCTTTGTCCAGTCCCTCCAACCTCCCGAGGTAGCTATAGACTTGGGACGTAAGCTCGATGGCAAGCGGGTATCTTCCAGTGTCACCCCACACAGCGGTGTTTGAAGTCGATTTGTTGACATTCATAGTCCATTTCATAAATGATAGGTGAACTTTCTCCAGGGGGTCTTTTGCTGTATCCTGAGTAGCCGGATAACTCCCCGAAGCAAAGATAGACATGAAATTTGTCATGGGAAGCCAGATCTGACACCCGTAGGATAGAACAGGAACAATCAGAGTGTCGAAAAGCTTAAACACAGTTGTCTTCCGGAGGTATCGAAGGTCAAGCATACTCTTGAGAGAGAAGTAGCTCCGGAGCCCTTTTTGTCTAAGCTTTATCTGAGCAAGTTTTAATGATCCCGTGAGTGTGAACGTAATTCCAAGATATGTGTACTCACGCACTGATGGCAAGGTCATTTCCCCGTAGACAAAATTAGTACTGTCCTTGAGCACCCGTCCTGCCCGGTTAAACACCATAATTGCTGTTTTTGATATGTTAACCGATAACCCCCACTCTTGACAGTAGGTGTGTAAAACTTCTAACATTCTTTGAAGACTCTCTTGATCGAGAGCCAACAGAATCAGGTCATCGGCCCAGAGGAGGTGGGTTACTCTAGTACTTTTCAGTAACGGTACTTCGACATTTTCCATAGAATTAAGGTCTTCTGATAGTTGGTGTATGAAGCATTTGAAGAGTTCTGGAGACATGGGGTGTCCTTGTTCAGTCCCGCAAAGAACATCGATCTTTTCAGAGAGCTTGTTCAAGAGCTTGATTTTTGCTTTGGAGTTTGTGTACATGAACTCCATGCAACCAAAGAATCTTCCTTTGATGCCTAGTTTCCAGAGTTTGTACAAGAGTGCCTCCCGGCAGACTGTATCAAACGCTTTGGCGTAGTCAACAAAACAGGAGAACAATCTGCCTTTGTTAGCTGTTACATATTTTTCTATGCAAGTCGACAGTGTCAATATATGATCTGCTGTTTGCGCGTTTTTGCAAAACCCCAGTTGATTGGGGGTGTCAGGGTTTGTCTCAGCACGGAATTTTATAAGTCTCTGGAGGAGAATACTTGCAAACAGTTTTCCCACGTTGCTGGCTACTGCAATTGCCCTATAGTTGTTGGGATCGTAGATGTTGCCTTTTTTGTGCAGAGGCGTCACAACAGATGTTCCCCAGGGATAAACTCTGTGTGATAAACATAGGTTAAAGAGATGCAGTATAGCGCACTGCATATGTTTTCCAGAGAGTTTGAGAAATTCATTGGGGATTAAATCCTCCGACACTGCTTTCCCTTTCTTGAGCACTCGAGTACAAGCCAACAGTTCTTCGGAGCTGATGTCTTGGTCAAGGATTTCTGTGAGTGTTTGCTGGGTGGCATCTCTGTCCATTTCGTCTTGTAGTTCTTTTATTTTCTTTTGGGCTGATCGATGGTTTACTATACAGCTCTTTGAAGAATTTGCTGAAGTTAAGCATATCAAAGACGTCCAATTTGCTTCCATTTGTCTTCATATCTTTAAGCCTCTTGAAACGGGACCAGTTAATATTTTTGCCTCGTTCGATGTCACTACATAGGTCCTCTATGAATGCAGACTTTTTAAGATTTATGAGTTTCCGATATGATCGTCGACTTTCATAGTAAGAGTCTCTGAGTTTTTTATTCGTAGGATTTTTGCCGTAACTTTTGGACAGTTTGTTCAACTCCCGCTTGCCGTTTATACAGCTTATATCAAACCACGGAGCTTTGGGCTTCATCCTTTGTCTCCTTTTTCTTTTTCCGCTCACTATTTTCCTATCTGGCTTGTTCCTCGGACCCTTTGTCGGAAGAATAACATCGGCAATGTCTTGGAAGATAGATACGAGTTCTTCATTAAGACACAAAACTTGTTTTCTGTCTGTGCATTGGGTTTCCGCGATTCGGGTTATTTTCTGAACAAATTCTGGCGAGTTCTGGATCGCATGAAACTGAAATTGAAGTTTCTCGTCCTCATTATCCCATTTGTATTTTTTAGGTGCGTCTTCTAGTGTTTCAAGTAGATCCTCTGCATCAACCAAGTTGTGTTTGTGCTTTATTTTGCAGATGCACGGCTTGTGGTCAGAAAATTTGTTAAGATTCTGCACTTGGAATGACAGCACTGATTCCAACAATTCAGGTGTGACTGCCATATAGTCAACTACGCTGGCACCATTGTAGTTGACAGAGGTATATTCCCCAAAGATGTCTCCCAGTGTATTACCATTTAGCAGTGATAGTCGATTACAAGCGAGGAAATCTAACAGTAGGTTACCCCTAGAGTTAAGTACTTGATCCTTGCTTACTCTCCCGCTAGTCTTTGGATGGCTGGAGGGGATTTCATCTGGTTCAGAGTTAGGGTCGTCATCTTCAAAGTCGAAGTTTGTGTTTCCAGTACGGGCATTTAGGTCACCCACCAGCAAGATCTTGCCAAGATCGGGATTCTGAGCTTTAAAGTCAAGGAGGTGCTCTAATGTTGTCATGTAAGGGGAGCCATCTCCAGCCTTGCGTTTTGACTTGTACGACGACTGCTCTGGTGAGTCGTAGACATTGATGATGGTGAACTTGTTTTCCATATCATTGGGATAGAAAGTAATAGCTTGGAAGTCAGGGCAATTTGTTTTGACTAGCTTTACTTGTTTTGAAATTGAGCGATGTACCCCAATGCAAATTCCACCCGATCGAGAGCCTTTTCTTGTGCTGTTGAAGCACTCATAGTTGGGGAGAAAAAACTCCTG